GGCTGGGCATTGGGACTCAGAGCAGGGAGCTTCTCTCTCTTGTGGTCTCAATGACCCTCCTTCTGGCATCCAAGCAGCATGGAGAAGAAAGCTGTCTGATTCAAATGCAGAGAAGACAAAACCCAGACCTGGGGAAAGGAAAGTAGCTGGGAACGGGGACAAGAAGTCTGGTGAGTATGGGAGTGGGGGAGGAGAGAACCTGGGACACACTGAGCAAGGAGACTAGGGGGATGGGAGCGAGTAGGCTTTGGGGCACAAACACTGAGATTGGAAAAGAAGCAGGGACTGGCATGACGAGGAGCTTAGAACTAAATCAGTGGGGGAAGAAATGGGGGTGCAGGGGAAGGGAGACAGATCTGACAAGGGGCTCGGTGTTCAGGGAGAACAGGGACTGGCTAAACAGAGAAACTGACAAGGAACCAGGGAGGGGAAGAGGTCGGGGGAAAGACTGAGATTGGATAAGGAGTCCAATGGAGGGAAACTAGGACTGGAATCTGGGGGAGTGGGCATGGGAGAGCAGAGAAGTTGGATGAGGAACCTGGAAAGGGACACGAGCACTGGCTGGGCAAAGAGAATGGGTCTGGCATGAAGCTGGGTAAGCAAGAAGGAGATTGGAACAAGGAACTTGGGGTGGAGCAAAGACGCGAGTGGGACAGGACAGAAGGGTCTGTACCCACTAGAACACACTCCCCTGCAGAGTCTCACCATTCCTCTGCTGTTAGCAACTATCTTTGAAACTCACACACAAAGTGTCTCTCCACCCCCTCCAGTGCTGACCCACATACAAGATGACAACCTACAACTGCTATCAGTTATTCCATTAGCTCAAGTGGCAGAGGTCTATGCAGTGGATCTAAAAGGTTCCAAACTTGCAGAGGACCGATGTTGGTGTCCCTATAATACCACAAGAGGGCACTTCTTGTTATTCAGTTTGCTTTTTTAAAAAAGAGCTAGGAAATTACATACAAAAACATATTAAAAGACTATTAGGTTGCAAAGTCAAGCACTCAGACGTTAATTCTGGCATTTCCTAGGGGCCCTGTGCCATCTTAATTCAGCCGCCTGGGTGCCAGGACTGTGATCACAAGCAACACACATGACACTTAAGAGGCTCATTTTTTTATATGCAACACCCTCTTTGCTTACAAACAGAGCAAAGTAGTGTGCAAAATGCAAGTGTGCCTTTTAGCCCAAACAAAACTGGTAGCTTTTTGATTTTAGACTTGCCAGCGTCTTATGTTATGGCATTATGACTAATCTTAAAATATTAATCCACTGTGAATTCTTTCTGCAGCAGGATGTGAAAAATTTACAAATCTGAAGTTATGAAACCTATTTTGTCCTGATTCAAGCTTTTGTACATTACAGCTTCATTTTGCTAGAAAGTCAATATTTACTATTACAGAAGTTGACCAATTCATTTTGTCATTTTAAATATCTTCTGCACCTTTAAAGTTAAAGTAAAATCCCTTATCAAAAGTAGGTTATGTATCTCATTACATCATTGATATTTGACAAATATGTATAAAATATTATGCAATAGATGGAAACAATTGCAATATAAAAAGCCTTCTACATCACAGGTTTTAAAGTAGCATGTAGAAAAATTCCCCATGTTATTTAAATATTGAATTATGGACCTGTGGCTGTTTAAAATAAGCTTTCAAAGGACACGATCTTCAGCCAAACGTAAAGCTGGCATGTGTCATAAGTTTGGCCATTTTATTCCTTCTTAGCTTAACTCGATGATTCCCCCATGTAAGAAATCTCAGTAGTTTTTAAGTTAACGTGACAAAGCAAACTTCTTTTCAAGTAAGCTGCAGTGCCTGTCTGTGGTATTTAGATACCATATTAATGTCATACTTAATTCTGTATAAGCTGCATGCACGAACTCCCGATCAGTTCCTTGACTGAAATCCCTTGTTTTGCTTCAGGGCTTTGTTGTTGTTTTTTAAATACTCTCCTACTTTGAACTCCTTGTTATTAGGGAAGGCTTGTGTAAGGAGGCAGATATTGCACCATTCTCTGAAGACAGCCAGACAGTGACTTGTCCAATTTCTATGGGTACAAAGTTTGTCACATAGCCTGAGCTGAAGTGTCCTGCCCGTCAGCTTCATCATATGCTTCATCAGTCACATAATCCCTGCTGCTTGCAACTAATAGTGGATCCCAGGGAAAGATAGTGTTTTAGGGCATGTCTACACTTACCTCCTGAGTGATCGATCCAACAGGGGTTGATTTATCGCGTCTAGTGAAGACACGATAAATCGACCGCCGAGCACTCTCCCGTCGACTCCAGTACTCCACCGGAGCAAGAATCGTTGGCGGAGTCAAAGGGGGGAGCGTCAGCAGTCGACCTACCGCAGTGAAGACATCGCGGTAAGTAGATCTAAGTATGTCGACTTCAGCTATGTTATTCACGTACCTGAAGTTGCGTAACTTAGATCGATCCTCCCACCTCCCCAGTGTAGACCAGGCTTAAGATAGCTACACTATAGCCCACTGAGGGCTTCAGAGGTTAGGACCAGGACCTTGAATTTGATTCAATATTGAATGGAGAGCCAATGGACTACCAGAGTTATGTGCTCTCATTTATTTCTCCTGGTAGGAGAAACAGGCTGCTGCATTTTGTGCAAGTGTAGATTAATTTCCAGAGATAGAATGAAAGTAACTGGAGGTGACTGAGATACTGTGGGTCACAATGACTAAACCAGTGGTTCTCAACCTATTTACCATTGTGGACCGCAAATGCAGCTCTCTATGCGTTATGTGGGAAGCATCCACACACACATCATACGATTAACTAAAAAAATTTAATCACAAATAATCGCACTGTTAAACAACAGAATACCAATTTAAATGTATTAAATATTTTTGGATCTTTTTCTACATTTTCAAATATATTGATTTCAGTTACAACACAGAATACAAAGTGTACATTGCTCACTTCATATTATTTGATAAGTATTTGCACTGTAAAAATGATAAAAAATAGTATTTTTCAATTCATCTCATACAAGTACTGTAATGCAATCTTTTTATTGGAAAAGTACAACTTACAAATGTCGGGGTGGGCGGCTCTTACATAACTGCACTCCAACACAAAACAGTGTGCAACTTTGGAGCCTACAAGTCCACTCAGTCCTACTTCTTGTTCAGCCAGTCGCTAAGACAAACAAGTTTGTTTACATTTACAGGAGAAAATGCTGCCCGATTCTTATTTACAATGTCACCTGAAAGTGAGAACAGGTGTTCTCACATGGCACTTTTGTAGCCAGCATTGCAAGGTATGTGTGTGCCACATATACTAAGCATTGGTATGCCCCTTCATGCTTCGGGCACCATTCCAGAGGACATGATTCCATGCTGATGACACTTCTTAAAAAAAAAGAGTGTTAATTAAATTTGTGAATGAACTCCTGGGGGACAATTGTATCTCTCTGGCTCTGTTTTACCCACATTCTGCCATATATTTCATGTTATAGTAGTCTCGGATGATGAATGAGCACATTGTTTTACAAACACTTTCGCTGTAGATTTGACAAGACACAAAGAAGTTACCAATCTCAGATTTCTAAAGATAGCTACAGCACTTGACCCAAGGTTTAAGAATCTGAAGTGCCTTCCAAAATCTGAGAGGGATGAGGTGTGGAGCATGCTTTCAGAAGTCTTGAAAGATCAACACTCGGATGCAGAAACTACAGAACCTGAACCACCAAAAAAGAAAATCAACCTTCTGCTGGTGGCATCTGACTCAGATGATGAAAACGAACATGCGTCGGTCCACGCTGCTTTGGATTGTTATCAAGCAGAACCCGTCATCAGTATGGATGCATGTCCTCTGGAATGGTAGTTGAAGCATGAAGGCACATAAGAACATTTAGTGCATCTGGCATGGAAATATCTTGTGACACCAGCTACAATAGTGTCATGTGAACGACTGTTCTCACTTGCAGGTGACATTGTGAATGAGAAGCGGGCAGCAATTATCTCCTGCAAATGTAAACTAACTTGTTTGTCTGAGTGATTGGCTGAACAAGTACAATTGACTGGACTTGTAGGCTCTAAAGTTTTACACTTTTATTTTTGAGTGCAATTAATTTTTTTGGACATAATTCTACACTTGTAAGTTCAACTTTCATGATAAAGAGACTGCACTACAGTACTTATATTAAGTGAACTGAAAAATACTATTTCTCTTGTTTTTTTACAGTGTAAATATTTGTAATCAAAAATATAAATTGAGCACGGTCCACTTTGTATTCTGTGTTGTAATTAAAATCAATATATTTGAAAATGTATAAAACATCCAAAACTTTTTTTAAAGTGACAGGTTTCAGAGTAACAGCCGTGTTAGTCTGTATTTGCAAAAAGAAAAGGAGGACTTGTGGCACCTTAGCGACTAACCAATTTATTTGAGCATAAGCTTTCGTGAGCTACAGCTCACTTCATTTTTAAAATGGTATTCTATTATTGTTAAACAGTGTGATTGTGTTTATTTTTTTAATCATGCGATTAATTGTGATTCATTTTTTTAATCGCTTGTCAGCCCTAAAACACACACACACACACACTGTGGATGCAGCCCACATATATAAAACCCATATACCTTCGAGGATGTCACATGGGCCACAGTTGTATACTGATTGGGCATGTTGAGAACCACTGGACTATGCTCTTATCTAGGTATTGTTTCCTGAACAGCTGTACATGTTGGGGTTTTCTACTGGAGCAGTGGGAGTGTCAACAAGCAACAAGGAGTATAGTAGGGCTCAGACAATATGCTACTTTGTGATATAAATAAATAGAGTCTCAAATTTCTATAATTTTAGAGGTGCAAAGGTAAGAGTCAACTGACTATGTCTTTCTACACTGAGGTAAGTCAGGCTCATTTTTAACAAAAACACAAAAGCAAAGTGGGCCAAAATAAAACCACATGTGCTTACTCCTTATTTCTGTAGTTTCAATTCTAGAATTAAAAACATATGATGTCATTGCAGACATGGCAGAGCCAATCCAGCAACTGACCAGAAATAATCAACATCAGGAGAGGGAAAGTATCCCATTTACACTGGTACACCGCAAAGAAAAGGTAATTCTTTTCCTGCAAAGTATTTATTCTGGTATTTGAAATGAGTACACTTTGATAAGCAATTTAATTGTATACGTGTTCAAGACTGATACAAACCTGGCCCTAATGTCTTAACAGTCCATAATTGAAGAAAGGGAGAACAGTACACACAAGTGATTGAAATCAGTATGCCTAGAATGAAAGTTAGGTGACCCAAAAACACTTCAGTATGTGAACATCCCAAATCAGTAACTGAATGTGTACTTAAATTAAAAGAGTTTAAAGGATATTTTCCCTTTATTTACCTTGTAAAAGGAAAGTTCAAAATTTTGAATACGTTTTCCTTTCCCAATGAAAATCCAGAATGCGTGTCTTGCCAGGTATGCAAGAGATGTTATTTTCAAATATAATTTTAAAAAATAAAGTCAGTGTTTTCCCAAGCAATTAGATTAAGTCCAAATTAAACAGAAAAAGTTAAAGTGAGAAACAGAGTATGAGATTTGTATGAACACCGCATAATAGCTACTGAAAGCTTAATGCAAGCTAAATACCTAGATATGTTAACTTCAACAGTAAGAGTCCAAAAAAAGACTGTCCTTGAGCATACTTTTGATTTGTGAATTTGCCATTTTGTACAATCCATGCTTGCTCTGATCCAGAGAACAGAATACCTTCTCTCTACTCAGAGCCTGGGTTAGCTACAGTCTAGTTCTGCTTTGCAGATTTCAGGAATACACATGTAGAAATTATCTTTAAAATGCCTCCAAGATAACATTTCCACTCCTTCAGACTATTTGAAATTCATTTCTAGTTTTCCACTTCCACTCTCAAAATGTATCACTAAGCTGGCTAATCAAGTGATAGGGTTAACTTCTCTGTTTATCAGATCCATTGTTTTATCAGTACACAAAGGCTGTTACCAAAAGTGAGTAAAAAAATTCTCATCAGATACTTAAAAGCAAAAAGGTAAAGCCAGAAGAGTTGGATTATCTATCTATAGCTAATTCAATTAATTTCACCTGTTTACAAATAGACAGTATTAGTTATTGGAACTACAACAAACATTCATTGCAAACAGATTTCAGACTCTGGATTTTTCACCAATTGCATGTGCCATTTACTAGTCATTACAAATAATAGCATGGCCAAGCAGAAGGGATCCAGGTTGGAAGAAAATGAGCAGAAGAATCTGTGCTCTGTAGAGCATACTCCCACCCAGAAGCTGGAATCTAACCCAAGATTCCTGAGCCTCACTATTCCTCTGCTATCAGCAACTGTGAAACCCACCAGCAAATGTGCATCTCATCCCCCTCTAGTGAAAGTCCACATAGCAGTAGTACAGGTATCCTCTCTCAGTTACTTCTTTACTTCAAGTGGCAAAGGATCTAAAGTTTCCACACCTACTGATAAACCAAGTTGGTGTCACTATGATGCCACATGAGGGAATTTTTTTCCTCAGTTGCTTTTTTAAAAGCCTAGGAAATCATAGTGTTGTTGTAGTGGTGTTGGTCCCAGGATATTAGAGAGAGAGAAGGTGCGATTTAATAACCTCCTCAAGGGGGGAGGGCTACTACAGCTCCTCCTCCAGGAATCAAAAGCAGTGGGTGGTGATTAAGGCCCCCTCCCCCAGTACTCCTTCCTGAGAAGACTCACATATACTAATTGAGACTGGATTCTCCAGAGATCAAGAGACAAAGTACTTTAGAATAAACTGCCTGAGTTTTAACTGACTTGAGGCTCTTTTTCCTGTTCCAACAAACAGAACTTTCTGTTTAATGGGGCAGAGACTAATGGGTAACCTCTAGTGAACTTTTGGTATACATATAGGAAAGTACTTTATTTTATAAGTTCTCTCTATAATGCTTTTAACCTTATGAACAAAAAGTGCTGTTCAAGAGCTGTGTGGTCACTTCTAACTGCTGGCAATACATTAGTCATAGTTCTCAGAAAAAAACAGAGCAGACACTGGTCTTTTAGGCAGACTGGCTTGCTGGGGATACCAGTGTAGATCAGGTAGTGCTGCAGCCTTAAAACCTCTGTCAGGAGGGAGTCAGACAGTTCCCACCCAGGAGAAGTGATGCCTGGAACCTGGAAATCTTTAAGCAGGTTCCTGAAGAGACCATGGAGGGGGAATACAGGTGCCGTTATCCTGGAACTGTGACAGTTACATACTATTTTCCTCTACAGGATCTGTGCCTCATTCAGTGGATGTGATGGAAAGTGCACTGGGTATGAATCAAGGCTGTGTAGCACAGGAGGCTGTTGCCGATAGGACCCCTGCCTCTTGCAGAAATTAGAAGGTGTGTAGGAATGAGGCAGGGGATTGCAGGGAGAGAAAGATGGTCTCACAGTTAGCTGAATGCTGCCCTGGAGAATCAGATTCTATCTCTGCCTCTGCCCCCATTTTCTTATGTAATGCTGGACAAGCCACTTAAACCCAAACTTTTCAGGGGTGTTCACTAATTGTGTTCCTCATTTTCTGGGTGCCCAACTTGAGACACATGGCTATGATCTGAATAAATGCTGAGCACTCACTGCTGCTACTGCAGTCAGCTGGAGCCGTGCTTTGAACATATGAATTGTTATATAATGCTAGGTACGCTGAAAAGATCATGTTGTTGGCCTCTCAAATTAAGCACCCAAAACCAGTGGATACTTTTGACCTGTATCTCTGCCTTCAGCTCCCCTTTGGTAAAATGGGCATAGTAATATCCCTTCATCTCACAGGAGCATTGCAAAGATTGATTAATTATGGTTCATGAAGCACACACTTAACGATGAGTTCTGTAGAAAAGTCCAGGAGGAAATTAATACTGTCTTTAGAGCTGGGTTTGAATAGTGTGGAACGAATAAGATGTAAAGCCACACATTCAACGAGGATAAAACAAATACTGCATAGCTGCTCATTAAGTGAATACTGTCCATCCTGTGCACTGAATGAGGCAGGAGTTCTGGGGGAAAAAATAGTAGGTCATCAGGTAATTAGAGACTGTACCATAATGCATAGGTGTAAGGGAGTGAATTAAGGCTGCATGGGCAACTTTAATTCTGGTATTTCTTTATCTTTGAGTGCTTGACTTTGAAACCTCAATGTTCTTTGAACATAGCTGGTAATTTACAGTAGTACTGCAAACTCATTGAATGCTAAATCAGTTTAAGTTATGTTTCAGAGTAGCAGCCGTGTTAGTCTGTATTCGCAAAAAGAAAAGGAGGACTTGTGGCACCTTAGAGACTAACCAATTTATCTGAGCATAAGCTTTCGTGAACTACAGCTCACTTCATCGGATGCATAAAGTGGAAAATACAGTGAGGAGATTTATATACACACAGACCATGAAAAAATGGGTGTTCATCATACACATTGTAAAGAGACTAATCACTTAAGATGAGCTATTACCAGCAGGAGAGTGGGGTGGGGGGAGAGAAAACCTTTTGAAGTGATCATCAAGGTGGCCGGCCCACTTGTGAAGTGAAGATTATCACTTCACAAGGTTCTCTCTCCCCCCACCCCACTCTCCTGCTGGTAATAGCTCATCTTAAGTGATTAGTCTCTTTACAATGTGTATGATAAACACCCATTTTTTCATGATCTGTGTGTATATAAATCTCCTCACTGTATTTTCCACTTTATGCATCTGATGAAGTGAGCTGCAGCTCACAAAAGCTTATGCTCAAATAAATTGGTTAGTCTCTAAGGTGCCACAAGTACTCCTGTTCAGTTTCAGTTATATTACCTTGCACTAACCTCCACATAAATCTGTTTTATGATCAACTTACAGCACCACTGATTATGGCCCTTGTCAAGGTAATCCTTGATATTGATTAGAGTTAATGGAAAATTTGGAAAAAAATGAATATATCAAAATGTGTAGATGGCCCCACTACCAGAGTTTTAAGTCTTAAAAAAATCCTGCAACTTACCAGTGTAATAATCTTTTGAGGCAAGTGGCTAGCATGCAGCTATATCTCAGCAGACAATCCCCATTAGATAACCTTAGTGTTAGCTACAAAAAAAGTGAACTAAATATTTAAGACTTGAAAAGCAATATTCTTTATAATTTTTTTAATTGGAACACCTAGATTTTAGTATAAGTCACGTCATTCTTTTCATTCTCCTGCCCATGTACCAGATAGCTTATTTCCTTTCAAAATAGGCAAAGGATCTGACTTAGTCATCTTAAACACTGAGAAGTTCTTTAAATTACCCATACCAAAGCTTAACATCAAATTAAGATACTAACTCATTGTCCGATTTTTTGTTTGCAGTTTGGGGAAGTGCTTTACGAAAAACGTCAGTATGGAAAAGCTAAATGGGCTTGTATTAAAATGCAAGAAGAACAGTATGAACAGAGCATATGTCTGGGATTCATGAAGCTTATGAAATATATTTGTGAGCAGAACTCTTCAGGTAACTACAGATGCTAGTTTTGAATTACAACATCTTCTGCTATTTATGCTCCAGCACCTCTCATCAATTCTAGTTTGATTTGCACCAACCAAATACACAATCCTTTATAGTAGAAACAGCTCCCTGTGACAGCTTCTTTGTATTGGAAATGAAAACAAAAAACACTCAAACTGAAATGCCTCCTTGCACAAACATTTCAAAAGCACAAGTTTTATAATTGAGTGATCTCCAGCTTTTATTTCCCACCAGGTCCTCTCCCTTTCAAATTCTGATGAGGCTGGGATTTGTGATTTTTGTACTACACTGAGTACACGATCAGCACTAGACAAATGAGTTTTTCCTGAAAGGCTGTCTGGATATTGGTCGTTCAAATATTTCTAAACTGTTAGAATACTAATGAAAAATTGTAAGAGTCAGTTTGCACAGCTAAAGGCCAGAAAAGACCACTAGATCATCTATTTCTAATCTGATCTCTTGTATAATACAGGCCACTAAATTTCACCCAAGTACCGCTGTATTGAGCCAAACATGCATTAGCCAACACGAGCTATCTTCTTTGTATTGGAAGGCATCCAGTCTTGATTTGGAAATTTGTTCCAATCATCATTACCCTCCCTATTAAAAATTTGTGCCTAATTTCCGATATAAATTTGTCTGGCTTCAGCTTCCATTTATTGATTCGTGTGCCGTTTTCTGCTACATTACAGAGCCCTTTAGTACACAGAATTTTCTCCCCCCAAAAGTACATATACACTAATCAAGTCACCTCCAGTTTTTCAACTTCCTTTCTAAAATGTGAACACCAGAAATGGACAAAGCATCCCAGTATCAGTCTCATCAATACCCATATACAGAGGTAAAAATCACCTCCCTACTCCCATTCCCCTCTTTATCCATCCAAGGATTGCATTAGTCCTTTTTGCCACAGTTATCATATTAGGAGCTCACACTGAGTTGCTTGTCCACTATGACCCCTAAATCTTTTTCATAGTCACTGCTTTCCAGGATACAGTCCCTCATTCTGTAGATATGGCCTGCACTATTAGATGTGTAACTCTGCATTTGGCTGCGTTAAAATGCGAAATAATGATCAGTTGTGTGTGTGTGTGTGTGTGTGTGTGTGTGTGTGTGTGTGTGTGTGTGTGTGTGTGTGTGTGTGTGTGTGTGTGTGTGTGTGTGTGTGTGTGTGTGAGTAAAAATATATATACAAACCTGTTAGATTAATAAACCTAAAAAGACAAGTGTTCAGGGTTAAGGCAGTTTGTGGAATAAGGGAATTATTCCTGTGTAACTCCATGTCTGGAGGACCCTATTCTGCAATAAGAATGCTCCTATTCCAAATCCAAGTGGATTAAGTTATTTCAGACAAAGGTACTCTTATTGCAGAACAGCAGCATCCACTCATGGAGTTAATCAGGAATAATTAATTCGCTTTAAATTCACACACTACATTACTCCGATTAACTTTCATGTGTAGACAAGCCCTATCTTTGCCAAACCTAACTACATCTAGACAGGGAAGAGCTCTCAGAACACTTCATTTTAATATATTGTATGTACTGCAAGTCCAAGGCACAGTGGAAGATTAATATCAACTAGCTGCCTCCAGCCAACAGCACCTAAAGCCACCACTTTCTAAATCTACTGAATTCCATTCTGCTATGAAAAACTTTTCTACTCTGCAGTACTTTATCTATGCTTAGCTTAAGAATGTTCAATATTAGTTTTAAAACTTCATACATATTGAGTGCAAAAGTTCTCTTTTGTATTCTCTAGAGTGATGGTCATGTATTTTTCTTTAGGATTGTACTTGGGGATGACTATACCCATTGTGACTCTAGTGCATACTAATGAAACTCACTCAGAGATCACACGTTCAGTGACAGTCGCATACTACCTGCCTGAACTACTGCAGGAGCAGCCACCTCAGCCTTATGATTCTGACATAATTATTGAAGAGTGGCCTCCTACTGTTGTTTATACTAGGTAAGAAACATATTAATACTGTTCTAGTAAAGCCCTAAGTAGTACAGGTCTCTTTCTATATATTTAAAATAGAATATGACAAAAACTAAAAGCTAACATTGAAAATCAAAGCGTGTGTTATATCTATTAAATACCTCTTGTTTCAAAGACCAAAGTCAAAGTCAACTCAGGAGATAACTATTACATTCTGTAGACTGTTGCTAAGGTCACAGAAGTATTTAACTTTTTGAAGTAAATTAGTTATGGTGATACTTCTATTGCGTCTTTTTATATAAAAAATGGAATGATGAGTGCAACAGGGAATGTTACATCTGACACTTGTAAATTTTGGGTTAAGAAACATTTTAGCAGTTATCACCATGTATAATACATACATTAAGCAGTATCACTGAGAATCACCATAGAACCACTGGGAAGAGAAAAAGAATCTTCCAGGCTTAGAGGGGACTTCAGGAAATACAATAAAAGAATAGAATATAATTAAAAATTGGTTGTTGCAGGAGCTTCAGAGGGGTCACCAATGAAGACTCTATAATGAGAGAAATAAACTTCTTGGCAGAACTTCTGGAGAGCCCTGAGCTATGTTTGCAGAATATATTCATTGTTGCAGGATACACCAATCCAGCTGCTGCAAATCGACACAATGAAATATGGTTCCTGCAAAGGCCGTAGTCTACCATTTCTGATGCCTAGCATTTTCCAAATTCAGTTTGTACACAATGGCACGCTTAAATTTGCAAGTGAATCATGTCAGGCTAGTCGACAGCTTTATAAGTCTTTGTGATAAACTATACACAATTTTTAATCCTATTTTCCTAAACTACATATCATACCTGCAGTCTATCAAATTAGCAAGACAATCAATCCAATTTAGTTATTGAGCCATCAGGGTTAACATCTGAAATTTTACTGCCAATTCAGAAAAAGTCTTATACACAATTTCTCATTAGTTACTTCAGTTTTTACAGTTTATCCATAATATTTCTGAGATTTATAGTACTTTTCAAATTGATTCATGTAATCTTTGTAAACAAGATAAATTCAAGTCACAAAGGTATAGATCATAAGTTCTAGTGTTAAAAAACTAAACTTTTTAGATTTTTCAAATATTAACATATTAAATATTTTTCCACTACAGCATCTCTAGGGTGCCCAAAACATTTAGCAGGAGATTTTCAAAAGTGCTCAGTGTTGGCCCAACTCTGTTCCCAGGGAAGACAATAATAAAAGTTGGGAGCAGAGTTTGGTCAATGCTGAGCGCTTTTGAAAAATCCCACCCTCGAGTACAGGTTTTCCCCACTCTTCTCAAAAACTGAGTTAACCAAAGTATTTGTCACCTTTGAAATACAGAGTCCAGGATGCGAAGAGTCAGTTGCATTATTCATTCAAGCTTTGTAAGTAAATAGTTCAATTTTTCCATTTTTTAAAACTCACTACCACACACCCATATATGACTGAATACAGTACTCAGCAGACAGAAGATAGACATCATTCCGGCTCAGCTGTTCAACTTACTGAGTGACATGACCTTTAAAGAGAGCTTTGCCTAGATATTCAGAATATAGTAATCAAGGCAGATTAATTGGCATCACGGAAACTTGAAGGGATAAATCTCCTGACTGAAATATTGGTATATAGGGGTACAGCTTGTTCAGGAAGGACAGGAAGGGCAAAACATGAGGAGGTCCATAAGGGGGTGGGAGGCAGACTAGTTGAAAGTTTCTGAGTGAAGATAAAAGGGAGAGAAAATGTGTGTGACATCATAGTAGGAGTCAAATATAGACCACCAGGAAGAAGAAGTGGATGAGGAATCTCTAGAACAGACAACAGAAATATCAAACACAAGACCGGATAGTAACAGGGGAATAACTATGTAGACATCTGTTGGAAAAGTAATATGGCAAAGCACAAGTTCTTGGAATATACTGGGAACAACTTGGTGTTTCAGAAAGTGGAGGAAGTAACTGGGGGACAGCCATTTTAGATCTGAATCCAACCAATGGGGAGGAATTGGTAAGGAATCTGAGGGTCGAAGGCAATTTGGTATAAACTGATCAAGAAATGACAGATTCTAAGGAAAGAAAGGAGGAAGAGCAGCAGAACAAGGACACTGCACTTCAAACAAGTAGACTTTAACAAACCCAGAACTGATAGATTTTTCTTCCCATGGAACTTTATCTAAGTGACAGAGGAGTTTAGGAAATCTGGCAGTTTCTCAAGGAGACAATATTATAGCCATCTATTCCCAAGTGAAGGAAAGACTGGAAGAATAGTGAGAGGCCAATATGGCTCCATCAGGAGCTCTTTAAGGACATGAACATCAAAAAGGAATCCTACAAAAAGTGGAAACATGGACAAACTGGTAGGGAGCAGTACAAAAAGGAACAACACAGGCATGTAGGGACAAAATCACAAAGGCTAAGGCACAAAGTCAGTTACACTGAGCAAGGGATATAAAAGGCGATAAGATGATGTTCTTTAGATATATTAGAAGCAAAAGAAAGATGAAGGAAACCAAAGGTTCGCTACTTAGCAGGGAAAGAAAGCTAATAACTGATGACATCACCAAGGCTGATGTGTTTAATTCCTGTTTTGCTTTAGTATTCATTAAATACTCAACAAAATTAATATTGACAAGAGGGAAGGAACACAAGCCAAAATAAGAAAAGAACAAGTTAAAGGATATTTATCTAATTAGATGTATTCAAGTTGGCAGGGCCTGACGAAATTCATCCTGGAGTACTTAAACTAGCTGAAGCAATCTTTGCGCAATTTGCAATTTTCTTTGAGATCTTCTGGAGGATGGGTGAGGTCCCATAGGACTGGAGAAGGACCAATGTAGTACCTAACTTTAAAAAGGGAACAAAGAGGACCTGAGGAATTCTAGACCACTCAGCCTAACATTGATAGGTGAAAGATGCTGGAACAAATTATTAATCAATCAGTTTGTAAGTACCTGGATGATAACAGGGTTATAAAGAATAGCCAGCATAGATTTGTCAAGAACAAATCATGCCAAATCAACAAACTTCATTCTTTGACAGGGTTATTGTCCTACTAAATAGGAGGAAAGATCTGATATATCTTGATTTTAGTAAGGCTTTTGACAGTTCCATATGACATTCTCATAAGCAAACTAAGAAAATGTGGTCTAAATTAAATGTGGTCTGCATTACCTAGGGAGGTGGTAGAATCTCCTTCCTTAGAAGTTTTTAAGGTCAGGCTTGACAAAGCCCTGGCTGGGATGATTTAATTGGGGATTGGTCCTGCTTTGAGCAGGAGGTTGGACTAGATGACCTCCTGAGGTCCCTTCCAACCCTGATATTCTATGATTCTAAGTGCACAATTGGATGAAAGACCATACTCAAAGTAGTTATCAATAAGGCTGCAAATTTGTCATGGAGGTCATGGATTCCATGACCTTGGTGACTTCTGCAGTGGCCAGCTGCACCGCCTGCTGCTGGGGCAGTCTTGGGCCATTCCCGCCCCACTCCGAACAGCAGCAGGAGTTTGGGTGGAGGGCAGGAGGGGGTGAGGGCTCTGGTTGGCGTTTACCTCGGAGGGGCTCCCCGGAAGCAGTTACATCCACCTCCCTTGGCTTCTAGGGGGAAGCACGGCCAGGGGGCTTTGTGCACTGCCTGCACCTGCAGGCACTGTCCCCGCAGCTCCCATTGGCCGCGGTTCCTGGCCAGTGGGAGCTGCGGAGCCAGCACTCAGGAAAGAGGCAGTGCACAGAACTGCCTGGCCATGCCTCTGCGTAGGAGCTGAGGGAGGAGGATGGTCTGAATTCAACAAAATGAAATTCAACGAAGACAAGTGAAACGTACTTCACTTAGGAAGGAAAAATCAAATGCACAACAACAAAGTGGGAAATAATTGGCTAAGTGGCACTACTGTTGAGAAGGACCTGAGAGTTATAGTGGATCACAAACTGAATACAAGTAAATAATGGGATACTGTTGCAAAAACTGGAGTAGTGTGTCCAATCCTGGGTGCCACAATTCAGGAAAGATGTGGACAAACTGGAAAATCCAAAACACAGCAACAAAAATGATAAAAGCTTCAGAAAAGCTAATCTATGAGGAAAGGTTAGAAAAACTGGGCATGGTTAGTCTTGAGAAAAGACGACCGAGGGGGGGACCTGATAACAGTCATCAAACAGGTTAACGGCTATTGTAGAGGAAGGTGATCAGTTGTTCTCCATGACCACTGAAGGCAGGACAAGTAGTAATGGTATTAATCTGCAGGAAGGGACATTTAGGTTAGATATTAGTAAAACTATAATGGTTGTTAAGCTCTGGAACAGGCTTCCAAGGGAGGTTGTGGAATCCCCATCACTGGAGGTTTTTAACAACAGGTTGGACAAACACCTGTCAGAGATGGTCTAGATTTATTTGGGCCTGCCTCAGCGCAGGGCATTGGACTTGATGACCTCCCAAAGGCCCTTCCAGCTCTACATTGCTATGATAGCTAGCATACAGCCTTACTCTGAAACCCAGTAAGAAGTTCATCACATTACAACTGAAGAAGTGTATTCACAGGAAAAGTCCAGTGGTTAACTGTATACAATATTGATTAGATACATTAAAAGAATTTTCAAAGTAGTTTTTAGATGACATTTGTTTCAGTGCCACAGGACTCTCTGTTGCTTTTACAAATCCAGACTAACACAGCTACCCCTCTGATACTTGAAAGATATCTTACGTTATATTAAGTGTAAATATATAGCTTATGCAGACCTATGAGTTTCAATACAGGATCCAGAGATGCAGTTAGATTTCAGTTTCTATCCAATCAATTCACATATGTGGCAAATACAGGAAAGGGGAGAAATAGGTGGTTTCACAATAGCTTACCAAGGTTTCCTGGCAGACACTGAAAACCTATGCATTTTGATTACTCAATAGTAATATCATCAAAACATGTTTTTTGGCAATACAAACTTCAAAAATCCATAGGAAACAGTTAATGCCTATAGTCTGAAAGCATCAGTTTGTATTTAATCTACAGAGCAAATAACACCTCAAACAAGTCTCAGTTGTTATGCAGTTTTCAGTTCAGTTACAGAACTATTTAACTATTTTTGTGGGCATCAAGCAAGGTCACACAGAAACATTCTTGTTAATGTGTAAGCTACAGAAAAATCTTCCCACAGTATCTGAATGTGTGTTCTTCAACACCCTGAAAACTGCAGTAAATTGTATAGTCATTTTATGTAAAACTATGGATTAATGTAGAACATTATTATTTATTATGAGTTGTGTTAGATTGTTTAAGCTGCTAGAAGCACCAATTAAATTTCAAGTTTGAAGGTACACTGTATGGCTATGGAAAACTGTATTTTTTCGGTAAACGGCCAATACACTAGTGGGTGCAAGGAGACATGGTTTCCTCATTTATACAGGTTTCAGAGTAGCAGCCGTGTTGGTCTGTATTTGCAAAAAGAAAAGGAGTACTTGTGGCACTTTAGAGACGAACAAATTTATTTGAGCGTAAGCTTTCGTGAGCTACAGCTTACTTCATCGGATGCAGCATATTTTATAGGAACATTGATGAAGCTTGTTGAAATCTCGCTATTCTTACATACTAACATTTGAGGAGGCTGGGGAATATACTTCTAACAAGTCATAAAATTCACATTTGTCATGCTGTGGTACCTGCTTCCCATTATCTGACTAGACATTTTATTATGCTCCTATTGCTATACAGTGGAATCTCAGAGTTACGAACACTCGGGAATGGTGGTTTGTTACTCTAAAATGTTCAGAACTCTGAACCAAACATTACTGTTGTTCTATCAAAAGTTTACAACTGAACATTGACTTAATACAGCTTTGAAACTTTATTATGAAGAAAAATGATGCTTTCCTTTTTTTTTTAGTAGTTTATGTTTAACACAGAACTGTACTGTATTAGCTCTTTCTTCCCTCCCATCTCTGCTGCTGCCTGATTGTGTACTTCCAATTCCAAATGAGGGGTATAGCTGACTGGTCAGTTCGTAACTCGGGTGTTCGTAACTCTGCAGTTCTACTGCACTTCCTCAAACCATTACTAAAGTAATTCATATTTTTAATGTGAAATGTTTAAATAGCTCGGACACAATATACTGTTAAAATCCGCTAACAAAACTGCATCCATCCAATCACATCCTGGCAGTTTAAATATTTCCGCCTTAATACTGGAACATTGTTGCCCTGCCTACTTTGTACTTTTCAAACCAGTGTTAGTGCCTAAGAAGTTTAATCAAGTTATTGTGAAACTCAGGGCCTTGCTTATTTACTTTTACAAAAATAACTGTTTAACTAGGATAGGATACAGAGGGACCGAGACAAATTAGAGGATTGGGTCAAAAGAAATCTGATGAGGTTCAACAAGGACAAGTGCAGAGTCCTGCACTTAGGACAGAAGAATTCCATGCACCGCTACAGACTAGGGACCGAATGGCTAGGCAGCAGTTCGGCAGAAAAGGATCTTGGGGTTACAGTGGACGAGAAGCTGGATATGAGTTAACAGTGTGCCCTTGTTGCCAAGAAGGCCAATGGCATTTTAGGATGTATAAGTAGGGCCATTGCCAGAAGATCGAGGGACGTGATCGTTCCCCTCTATTAGAGGCTGGTGAGGCCTCATCTGGAGTACTGTGTCCAGTTTTGGGCCCCACACTACAAGAAGGATGTGAAAAAATTGGAAAATGTCCAGTGGAGGGCAACAAAAATGATTAGGGGACTGGAGCTCATGACTTATGAGGAGAAGCTGAGGGAACTGGGATTGTTTAGTCTGCGGAAAAGATGACTGAGGAGGGATTTGATAGCTGCTTTCAACTACCTGAAAGGGGGTTCCAAAGAGGATGGACCTAGACTGTTCTCAGTGGTAGCAGATGACAGAACAAGGAGTAATGGTCTCAAGTTGCAGTGGGGGAGGTTTAGGTTGGATATTAGATATTGGATATTCTTCACTAGGAGGGTGGTGAAACTCTGGAAGGCGTTACCTAGGGAGGTGGTGGAATCTCCTTCCTTGGAAGTTTTTAAGATCAGGCTTGACAAAGCCCTGGCTGGGATGATTTAGTTGGGGATTGGTCCTGCTTTGAGCAGGGGGTTGGACTAGATGACCTCCGAGGTCCCTTCCAACCCTGATACTCTATGAACTACAGAACTAGTGGGATTTTTCCAGCTTTGTTGCATTACTGCTGTAACTCGTTTTACGCTGTCATTCACTTTCTCTTAAACTTGTGTCTTGTTTAATGTTACAGACCGTCATAAATAAAGCTTCAGACTTCATTGTGCATGGGGGTCTAACTTTTCAAGCACATTATGTGCTTAGCATGCATATACCAATATTATTTTTAAAAACCTGGACCTCTGACCTATGCTTACAGATGCTGAGAAACGTTATTTAACCTACATATGTATATATGTCTACTCTGGCCTTGCAAAGTTTTGCTGAGAACTTGTTGGGAGCTCTTAATTGAAAGGTGGACTTCAGACTTTTCTCCAAACTATTTGAAGGACGAGAATTGTTAAAAAGCATTTAAACAGTGTCAATCAGATTTTATTTCCTTGTTGCCATGATGTCATAATCCTACTAATTTCTTAATGGCATAGTCAGAAAATGACATAAAATAAGGTGACTTTTCAAAAAAGCTTTTCAGAACTTTCTGTTCTACTTCAGAATCTAGTTGTACACCTTTGCAGATCACCTGGAATCCAAAGCCTAGCTAGCAATGACACAGCAAAATCATAAAAGGTATCATTCTACATCTATAAGGACTAGTTAGTCTAAAAGATAAGCTGGTAACGATATTAAAAACCAAAAGGCTTTTTAATCTAGCTTTCCTACAACAAGCCACGCACTCCTTGCCCAGCTTGAAAATACGGAATTAGTGTGTACAAGTAGTCTCATCATGACTTTGCTACCTAGAAGCTGTCAGCCTGGAACTGCTATGCAAGGGTACAATCTACCGTGCAGCTAGAGGTGTAATTCCCAGCTAGGGTAGATGTGGACATGCTAGCTTTGACTAAGCTAAACTTGCTAAAAATAGTTGTAGGGGAGTGGGAGGCAGCAGAGTGGCGTGGGAGGCAGCAGAGTCCAGTCACCTACGTACAATCCCATCCAAGACCCGAGGCGCACGCACTGGCAGCTAGCCCATGCTGCCGCTTGCACCACTGCAGCTACACAGCCATTTTTAGCATAGCACAATCAAAGCTAGCCTGCGAACGTCTATCCAAGATGGGAATACACCTCCAGCTGCAGTATGCTCTTCAGTGTGGGGAAGGTCTCCTATTATGTGTCAGAAGAGTGCCTAGCACAGAGATGCCCTGATTTTAGCTGGGCATCTCAGTGCTATTATAATAAAAACCTTTAATAAGAATAGCCACAGAGGGTCACAAAATCTTAAGAGTGAGTTTCCCATGATTCCCACTGGATGCCCAAAATCCAAGAGTCAGAATAAACAACATAGGATGTTTTGGAAATAAACAAAAACAAACAAAATGAAAGAAAAAACCCCACACACACCACAAGAGGCACTTAATAAAGAGTGTAATGTGTGCACATTAAAATGTTTTCCCTCCATTGCCCCATCACCATGTGCACTTGAAAATGCTGCGATGGTGACTGGCCCTGGAGGACAGAAGGAGCTCTCCCGCTCGTACACTTGTCAGGGAAACCACAAACTCAGGGAGCGCAAAGGCCAAGGAAGGTAAGTGCCAGTGCGTGAGACACCTTGAGGGCCAGCAGGGTCATGGCTCCATCCTCTTTTGAAACAGGTGAGGCACCTGTTGTAGTTACCTGAGCCAGTCCCCTGTGCCATATGAGGCATTTTAACCTGCCTGTGTATTCTACAAGTAGAATGCAGGAGAAAACCAGTGCAGTACCCTTTCACTCTCCTACCTCCTTCACTGCAGCTATACTTAGTGTAGGTAAAAAAGACATCTTACCTTCCAAATCAAAATAAAAACCTCAAGTTCTCAGTGCCAAATCCAAAAAGGAAATTAACACATGACTGAACGCATACTGGCACCCATTACAGAAAACAGAGTTTGGTTTACAAAGAAACTACACTGATTTAATTAAACTGACACAAATTTGTGGTGGACACTTGTTTCAGTTTAGCTTAAATCTGCTCTAAATGGATTGAAATTAAACCAAAATAAGCTATGTTTAAGCTAAAATGAGTTAAGGGTTTGCACTGGTTTAAAACTTAATTTCATTAAACCAGTTTGACTGTCTCATGGAGATAATCTCTAAGATTAAAGATCTGAAAATAGCTCCAGGTTAAAAATTGTCTCCTAAATCTAAAGATGTACAAATAAGAAAATGTTCTTCATATACTTAATAGGACTCTTCACATAGACCCTAAACAAAACTTATTAACGTGGAAGGCAAACTACCCCTTCAACAATATGGTGGATGATCAACTTTTAAAAAAATAAATACAACTTTTGGAGAAAACATGTTACTAAATCTAGTAACTTTGAACATGTATAAACCTCATCCATTAATAAATACCTGAAGATTTCTAGGAAGAGCCTCCGTTTTTAATAATTACTTCCATAATGCAGACATCTGTCTAACAGAACCTGACTGAGAACAGCCAGGCCACAGAACAGCCATCAGTTGGCAGCCACTTCTGTTCATTGCTAACCGGACTGTATTTGAACAGATTACTTATAAGTGAAGAATACCACCTGAGCTCCTCGGTCATACAGTTTGCAATATTTTTTTTGCTAGGCAATACTTTTTTAAAAAGAAAAATCTATTTAGCAGTACACTCACAAAGCAGCTAAGAATCAAAAGTTAAATTTTTACAGGAAGGAAGACAAGCATTTGATTCAATACTCACAGTATAGGAATAACTTTTGCGTAAATATAGCAATGAAATGGATAGCTTGAGAATTGTATGCATCATGTTAATACTCTTACACCAACCCACTTAAAATAAGCTGTCAATTTAGTTTAGGCTCAAATGTAGATTTTGCAAGTTTCTTAATCGAGTAAGACACCATACGATGAGATTTCTATATTTTAATACAAGTTTAATTTTAAACATTATCTCATGCTGTTGTGAAGCCAAACAAAAACTTGAAGCAAGTGTATCAGAAACATTAAGTGATACAGTAGTAACAAAAGTGAAACTGGCCACTCTGTTTTACTATCTGAGCTAAACATAAGCAAAAAGCCAACAGCATAAATAACGTAAGTTAGCTTAACAGAGTACTTGTCTTAGTAGTTAGAGGCATTAACAAGACAGATAAGGATTTTATTACTATTTCTATAGTGACATGAGCTCTTTAATGGTAAAAAAAAGTAGTAACTCACCCTGATGTAAGCATTCTGAATTTCTGCTAGTTCTTTACCAAGTGGAACAACAAATTTTTCAACTTGCCGCTCATGAGAGTAAGGCTGAATATCTGGGGAATCTTCAGAACACAGCTCTATCTGTGCTATCAATAGGTTGGAAATAACTTCCTGTACAGCCTATGAAGAAGTCACAGGAAAAGAGTGTTTTACATAGTGTATTTTTCTTAATGTCATCTCACTGCTGTAAATCAAGGATATGTGAAAGTTAACAACACAGGCCCTGTAAAACTATTTGAAATAGCAAAGAAACATTACCTGTATTGAGGGATCTGCAGACAGCAATTCATTTTTCAGCAGTCTCCACTACAACTAGGGGCCCTGATTGATCATTTCAGCCATTTTAAACATCAGACAAAACAATGTAGTCAGGAAAATGCCCTACCACATCATATACATAGCAAGTAAAACAATCATTAAAATAGCAATAAGAAAAAATACTTGAGTTAGAACTATTCTAGCACCATTTGTTAAAAAGTTTTGCTATAAAAAACTACGTCTGCATCAGCTGCCATAACCCTCCCTCACTCCACCTCATCAGGCCATTAGTCCAGTATAAACAAGTACATTAATACGAGAGGGATAATTTGTGACATTCATTATAAATGTGGAAGAGTTTAGATCACTGAGTTTGGAAATTCCTTGTTTCCTCTGATACTATTTGGGAAAAGGTGGCATAACACATTCAGACTGCACAGCAACATTAACAGTGCCGCAGGAGCCACTTGTGCCTGACTAGGATCATGCAATTCTAATCAGCAAACTGCTGCTGTCAAAAGAGAGCAACACTCATGTAATGATCGCTCTTCTGGGGGGCTCTATTGAAGCCACTCTAATTCTCAGCCCACTAATGCAGTACTTGACTCACCTTTGTGTCACTGCCTGGTGTGGCAGTTAGAGCCAAGATTCTAAATTGGTTTGTGTATTTGCTCAGTTCCTTCACAACCTGACAAAAAAAACCCAAGAGTTACATTAATATCCTTAAAGAGGAAAAGCTCTTACTCTCAATTGTTTACATATGTGAAAAATTAAAATGTTCAAAAAAGCATTCTCCACAAAGTTAGTGTCTAGCCTAGAAACAGAATCTAACAATAAATGATTGTCAATCCCCTCCCATCCCACCCCCAAAAAAAACCCTTAGATTATGTGAACTGGCTTCAAGAGCCAACTCCGCATACTCGAATAGGGGTAGTCTTTTTTTTTTTGGTCAAGGTCTACATTTATTAGTCAAGATATAGTGAACATCCAGACTCAAGAGAAAATAAAAAAAATGATAAATAAAAAAAAATTGCAGGGTCCGTGCAAACGCATCTGGCGGTCTGGATTTGGTCCGCGGTTTGCCTGTTGACTACCCCTGCACTAGAACTACTTGGGTGAGCACTGAAAAGGATTATTACTGGATTCAGCAAGTGGATTTACAGCACATTAGCCAAATGAGCTGCCCAACAGGAAATCTGGAAGGCCACTCTGAAAGCCAGCATTTGCAACCTGAGTACAAAACTAGTCTGAAATGATGAAGAAAATGGTATGACAAAGGAGCTGGACAAGGGGGCAAGAGCTGCATAAAACCACATGCACCCATCTATCTCTCATTGCGAACTTGTTTTAATGGCAACTGGGAAAGAGGGAGGCTGTTCCTTTGAAGCCATCTATATTCCTGTTCCTCACCCAGATCAGCTCCTAAAGTCAAATACACAATTAATGTACAGGGCTACAAGCAGCCTGGCAGCACAAGCATCTATTCTTCTGTAGTACTCTGATATACTGTGACCAAGAGGCAGTCTTCTGCTGTGTGAGGAAAAGTATGAGAACCACTGGAAGTGCACAGAAAAGTGCTACAAATATCAAACAGAAATTAAAAAAAAAAAATACAAAAAAAGTCAACACACAGAAGAGGACAAGGGAATTAAATAGACACATTAAAAAGTGATGGTAGTCATGCCCAAGTACAGCAAGACAGGATAAGGAAAAAAGCATTTTATATGCCAATTCCACAGCAAAGGTGACTAACAAAGAAAGCTGGGAACCACTACTCTGCCTTAAGTAAGCTCACAAAATTCTCAATGAAATGTGAGTCGTTTCCCCATAACACAGGTAAACGATCACCGCAAAAAAAAACGATCACCGTTAAAAAAAAGCTACATTGGACTTTAATAGAATAAAGAAGTATGTAATCCTTTGTCAGATGCTCAGAAAGCACCACAGCCTGTACACTTGCATTATTACAAAATGAAAACAAGTTACTAAAGGGTTTGAAATTCGGGAGGGCTGCAGGAAGGAGGTGGTGCAGCTATGGTGAACAAGCCTGTTCTCTGTTTTAATTCTAATAAAAACAGAAGCCTCAGCATTTTCCTTTATGTGCCATATTATACGAGTCTGCTGTTTGTCAGTTTTCCTATGCAATGATCTAATAGGGAACCATCTAGTGCCACATCAGTTCACTGCAAATTTCTCAATACAGGACTTGCTTCATAACTTTAAACCGAAGTATTGATAGAAAGGGATTTAACCAAGATATTTCAATGCCTTTTTCACTGCATGAGACAAGACCTCAACTGAAGGGACAACAGTGGGTCATACTGGGCTCAGAATTTAGTTCAATTTAAGTAAAGTTTTTTCAGAAATGTGGTTTAATTTGCAATCTCTAAGATAGGAGACCCCAGTGGCAGCAGTTTAAATGTTTAATTCCTTGCCGATACATGCCAGATAGACTGCTGTAGATTGAGTTCTCATAAACATACCCATGCCCTGTAGAAATAGCCCCACACGACAAATGCATTTTTAATTTTTTACACTCTAAGGTTTAAAAATTAATTTCTGAAAAGAAAATGCAGTTCAATACCCAACCATACAAAATGCTTATCTCCCCATCTACTTAAGATTTCATAACACAGTTAGAATGGACAGCATCTTGTGTACATTCTTGTTGCATGCAATTTATCCATTACTTGTATCAAGGTATTGTAAGCCACAAAATAATGTTTTGTCTTTGTTGATTTCTTACCAAAATCCTCAGTTTAAAAAACTGCAGAACAATCTACATTTGTGCGTAAATTATCTATGATTGCAAAAAGAATTGCTCACAAGATTATGCAGTTCACATTAGTCCACCATTACCAGGTTGCAGTTCACATTAGTCCACCAGTTCACATTAGTCCACCATTACCTGGCAGTAGGCGTAGTTTCCAAGAGCTTTGTGGGCTTCATCAATAACCAGACATTTTATTTCTGCTGCAGGACAGGTTCCACGAGAAAGATCATTTACCATTACTTGAGGAGTAAGAAAAAAGACCCTCTTATTGTGCCAGATTTCCTTCCGATTGAGAACCTGGGTACCCCCTGGAAAAAAAAAAAAAGAGCACTATTACAGATTTCAATTAGTTGTTACCACTCAAGAGAGAAATCTTGGAGTCACTGTGGACAGTTGTCTGAAAACATCCACTCAATGTGCAGCAGTAGTCAAAAAAGTGAACAGAATGTTGAGAATCATTACGAAAGAGATATCTCAAAAAAGATATATTGGAATTGGAATATATTCCCTCTGGGTGACATGGCATTGGCCACTGTCAGAAGACAAAAGAAAAGGAGTACTTGTGGCACCCTAGAGACTAACCAATTTATTTGAGCATAAGCTTTTGTGAGCTACAGCTCACTTCATTGGATGCATTCAGCTGTAGCTCACGAAAGCTTATGCTCAAATAAACTGGTTAGTCTCTAAGGTGCCACAAGTACTCCTTTTCTTTTTGTGGATACAGACTACTCTGAAACCTGTCAGAAGACAGAATACTGGGCTAGATGGACGGGGAACATGCCTTTTTAAGTCTGGACAGTTTTATAGGCATTTCACCTGCTGAGTCACTCAAGGCCTAAGTTTATTGTAATCAGTATGAAAAACTTCACTTAAAACAACAGGATGGCCCAAAGATTCCCTGGAGAGTACCATCTGCTATGATACAGGTGCCATAGCTCAAGCTCAAGTTTAGATCAGTGGCAGCTTGAAATAAGAAAAGTGAAAATTAGTTTGAGAATAGGGAACAGACTGACTGCATTATTCTAAGGTCACATCTACACTACGTGATAGGGGTCAGATTCCCAGGTCACAGACACATACTCGTGCTCATGCTCATCGAGCTAGCACAGGTATAAAGAGTAGTGTGGCTGTGGTAGGATGGGCAGTGGCACAGGCTAGTCGCCCTGAGCATAAACCCGCCTGAAACTGGTGGCTACATCTTTGGCACAGCTTGCCGCCACCGCCCATGATGTGTCACCATTGCCCGAGCTACACTACTATTTATGACAGGTTTCAGAGTAACAGCCGTGTTAGTCTGTATTCGCAAAAAGAAAAGGAGTACTTGTGGCACCTTAGAGACTTACCAATTTATTTGAGCATGAGCTTTCGTGAGCTACAGCTCATTTCATCAGATGCATACCGTGGAAACTGCAGCAGACTTTATATATACACAGAGAATATGAAACAATACCTCCTCCCACCCCACTGTCCTGCTGGTAATAGCTTATCTAAAGTGATCATCAGGTGGGCCATTTCCAGCACAAATCCAGGTGTTATCACCAGGTGTTATCAGGAAGATCACCGATGGATTGAAGTTGATCTTCCTGATAACACCATCCTGGCTACTATGGATGTAGAAGCCCTCTACACCAACATTCCACACAAAGATGGACTACAAGCCGTCAAGAACACTATCCCCGATAATGTCACGGCTAACCTGGTGGCTGAACTTTGTGACTTTGTCCTTACCCATAACTACTTCACATTTGGGGACAATGTATACCTTCAGATCAGCAGCACTGCTATGGGTACCCGCATGGCCCCACAGTATGCCAACATTTTTATGGCTGATTTAGAACAACGCTTCCTAAGCTCTCGTCCCCTAAAGCCCCTACTCTACTTGCGCTATATTGATGACATCTTCATCATCTGGACCCATGGAAAAGAAGCCCTTGAGGAATTCCACCATGATTTCAACAATTTCCATCCCACCACCAACCTCAGCCTGGTCCAGTCCACACAAGAGATCCACTTCCTGGACACTACAGTGCTAATAAACAATGGCCACATAAACACCACCCTATACCGGAAACCTACTGACCGCTATTCCTACCTGCATGCCTCCAGCTTTCACCCTGACCACACCACACGATCCATCGTCTACAGCCAAGCTCTGCGATACAACCGCATTTGCTCCAACCCCTCAGACAGAGACAAACACCTACAAGATCTCTGTCAAGCTCTCTTACAACTACAATACCCACCTGCAGAAGTAAAGAAACAGATTGATAGAGCCAGAAGAGTTCCCAGAAGTTACCTACTACAGGACAGGCCTAACAAAGAAAATAACAGAACGCCACTAGCGGTCACCTTCAGCCCCCAACTAAAACCCCTCCAACGCATTATTAAGGATCTACAACCTATCCTAAAGGATGACTCTACACTCTCACAAGTCTTGGGAGACAGGCCAGTCCTTGCCTACAGACAGCCCCGCAACCTGAAGCAAATACTCACCAACAACCACATACCACACAACAGAACCACTAACCCAGGAACTTATCCTTGCAACAAAGCCCGTTGCCAATTGTGCCCACATATCTATGCAGGGGACACCATCACAGGGCCTAATAACATCAGCCACACTATCAGAGGCTCGTTCACCTGCACATCCACCAATGTGATATATGCCATCATGTGCCAGCAATGCCCCTCTGCCATGTACATTGGTCAAACTGGACAGTCTCTACGTAAAAGAATAAATGGACACAAATCAGATGTCAAGAATTATAACATTCATAAACCAGTCGGAGAACACTTCAATCTCTCTGGTCACGCAATCACCGACATGAAGGTCGCTATCTTAAAACAAAAAAACTTCAAATCCAGACTCCAGCGAGAAACTGCTGAATTGGAATTCATTTGCAAATTGGATACTATTAATTTAGGCTTAAATAGAGACTGGGAGTGGCTAAGTCATTATGCAAGGTAGCCTGTTTCCTCTTGTTTTTTCCTACCCCCCCCCAGATGTTCTGGTTTAACTTGGATTTAAACTTGGAGAGTGGTCAGTTTAGATGAGCTATTACCAGCAGGAGAGTGAGTTTGTGTGTGTATGGGGGTGGGGGGGATGTGAGAAAACCTTGATCTATACAGGAAATAGCCCGACTTGATTATGTAAAGAGTTGTCACTTTGGATGGGCTAGCACCAGCAGGAGAGTGAATTTGTGTGGGGGGGTGGAGGGTGAGAAAACCTGGATTTGTGCTGGAAATGGCCCACCTGATGATCACTTTAGATAAGCTATTACCAGCAGGACAGTGGGGTGGGAGGAGGTATTGTTTCATGATCTCTGTGTGTATATAAAGTCTGCTGCAGTTTCCACGGTATACATCTGATGAAGTGAGCTGTAGCTCACGAAAGCTCATGCTCAAATAAATTGGTTAGTCTCTAAGGTGCTACAAGTACTCCTTTTCTTTTTACTACTATTTATACTTACCTTAGCACCGACTGATCTAGCATGAGCATGCGTAAATGAGCTGGGAATCACACCCCTAACTTGACATGTAGACATACCCTGAAGATCCCCTAATCAGTGGAAAGCTACACAAAGAGGTATTACATGTTGAAGTTCATGCCCACCCTTGGCTTCAGGAAAGAAGGAAGCTTTTAAACATGGATAATAGAGTCTTCTAGAAATATCTAGTCCACCTTTTGGATAATAGGGTGGAGAAGAGATTACTTTGTGTATTGATTAAGCCAGTAAACATCACAGGTTTACAGTTTAGGTAAGAGGTGTGAGCATCCTGCTGAGCTGAAAATTGATACATCCTGAATTATGGTCTCCCTACTGCTCCACTATAATTGAGAATAGTTCATCACTAAGGCTGCAAGTCTGTCATGGAGGTCACAGATTCCGTGCCTTCCAGGACCTCCATGACTTCCGCAGCTGCTGGTGTGGCTGACCCTGGGGGCCGGCCACTGGGGCAGCTCATGGGCTGCCTGAGCAGCAGCTGGTGCCACTGGCTCTGGGCCATATCATTCAGTTTCTTCAGAATTGATTTTTTTCTAAATTAAGTTTCTAGCCCATGTGGCAGCAAAGAAAATCTTCCAAATGTGACTTGAGCGTAACTAGAAAAGGAGTACTTGTGGCACCTTAACAGCGTAACTGTTGCAGTAACGTCTGAGTCTGTAGGCATCCTGATACAACGATTCCGAGATATGAACTGCACTGTCTCCTGTTAATCTGATTAAAGTATCAATTTTGTGATGACATTTTAGTGTCAATATTAACAACAGATTAAGTGTTCACTTTAACTGATGAAATGAGGGTGCAGAGTAGTAATGAAAGAAGGAACTGCAGAGAAAGGAACAAAAGACTCGAACACAGGGGTGTAGGAGCTCCTGTTTGGTGCTCAGGGTGGGGGTGGGAATGTGGGGGGGGGTGCAAGAATCAGGGCATAGAGGGGGGGGGGCTGGAGTCAGGGCCTGGGGGGGGCTGGGGGGGTACTGGAGTCAGGGCACCGCTCAATGCTGCGTCCCGCCTCTGCCGACAGCTACGCGAGGGGCATCGCTGGCGCGCCGGGCCGGGGCCGTCCCAGCGAACGGGGCCGGGGCCGGGGGCCGCCTGGCTGCCGGGGCGGGGCCGCGGGGCCGCGTGCGGGCCCCTCCCTACCTGTCATCTCGGCCATGTGGTGCGGAGGGATGCCCATGACGCGGGCGCAGGCCTCCATCTGCTGCGCCACCAGCGGCCTGGTGGGCGCCAGGAAGAGCACCTTGGCGGAGGGGAACCAGCGGTAGAAGTTGTACATGACCACGGCGGCCACGAAGGTCTTGCCCAGCCCGGTGGGCAGGCAGACCAGCGTGTTGGCCAGCAGCGCCGCCCGCGCCATGCGCTCCTGGTAGCCGCGCACCGGCCAGTTGGTGGGGTAGACCCACAGCGAGCCCGCCGCCGCGCAGAACCCGCCGCCGCCGCCGCCGCCCGCCCCCGCGCCCGGGCCCCGCTCGGCCTCGGCCGCCGCCGCCGCCAGCAGCAAGTCATCGTCCCCCGCCGCCGCCGCCGCCTCGGGGCCGGGCCCGGGCCCAGGCGCGGGACCGGCAGCCGCCTCCCGCCGAGGGGCTGAGGGGGCCCCCGGGGCGCGGCTGACGCCAGCCCCCCAGCTCTGGAACAGCGTCCTCTGCCCGCCGCCGCCGCCGCTCATGCTCGGTGGGGAACGGCCGGCCCCTCCCTCAGCGCCCGCCCGCCGGCGCCCCCGCCGCCATCTTGGGGCCGGCGGCTCTCCGGGAGCGCCGGAACACCTCGCCACGCTCCGAGCGCTGCCGCGTGAGCGCCGGCCCCCGCAGCACGCTGGGAAGTGTAGTCATTCAGGGCCGCTCTCTGCCGCGAGAGGCGCTGCGGCATGCTGGGAAATGTAGTCATGTGGGGGGGGCTTACTGCTAGCAGGCGCTGCGGCATGCTGGGAAATGTAGTCGTGTGGGGAGCTTACGGCTACCGGGCGCTGCGGCATGCTGGGAAATGTAGTCGTGTGGGGGGGCTTACGGCTACCGGGCGCTGCGGCATGCTGGGAAATGTAGTCGTGTGGGGGAGGCTTATGGCTAGCAGGCGCTGCGGCATGCTGGGAAATGTAGTCCGTTTAAGAGCTTGACCAAGTCCCCTAGAGGGAAGGCACTTGCAACCCAAGCGCTTGCTAAAGCCACCAGGACCCAGTCCCGCCTTCCCAAATGTTCTAGTCCCTGTGCATGTTGTTCAGGGAGCCTGTGCTGGAGTACTCTTTTTGGCCTGGAAGACCACGGGTGTGTGTTTTATTCTTGGGGGGGCCTTTTAGGGATTGGGGGAAAAATTGGGGATTGGTCCTGCTTCAGTAGGGGTTGGGACCTTCTGAGGTCACTGTCAACCCTAACCTTCTATGATTCTATGTGGTATTGCTTCTGCACTGTCAACCATAGTATGTACCGGCCTGGAAACTTACTAGCCATCACTTTACAAATGTGGAACCAGGCCAAGGGGAACAGAACCGAACAGAAGTTATTCACCTCTTTCACTGACCCATCATGCACGAGTCATGCTCCTGTTTAAAATGCTGGCAAAACTCTAATCAGGCATTTTGTCAGACTGTCTCTTAAACCAATTTCCGTGATAATAACACAGTAAAGAAAGGTTTCAGAGTAGTAGCCGTGTTAGTCTGTATCCAAAAAGAAAAGGAGGACTTGTGGCACCTTAGAGACTAACAAATGATTTGAGCATAAGCTTTCCTGAGCTACAGCTCACTTCAACACCCATTGTTTCATGTTCTCTGTGTATATAACATCTCCCCACTGTATTTTCTACTGCATGCATCCAATGAAGTGAACTGTAGCTCAAATAAATTTGTTAGTTTCTAAGGTGCCACAAGTACTCCTGTTCTTTTTACAGTAAAGAAAGATAGTGTGATAAACACTGCACACCCTGACAAACAGCTAGTCAGGTACCACAAGGGTTCAGCACGTTATGAGAAAATAGATTGACTACCAATACATAATGACAAGCAGCATTACATACCTTTTGCCAATATTTAGGTTATAACGTCTTCTAATGACAGCTCTAGGATAGTTGTGTTTTCATGTCATCCCATTATTTACAGTTAGAATCAGTTTCCTTATCCTCTTCTCAGTTACGGAACAGTCCACTGGAAGCTAGATTGCTACAGATGTGGCTGTCTAGAAAATAATTACTAATTATGCACTGAGTACTGTGGAGAAGTTTGAAAAGTAGAATTGCAGTGGGGACCTGCCTCCTAGTCCCACGGAAAACAGATTCTTCCTCATGCCCACCCTTGCTTCATAAACAAGCAGATTTTAGACACAACAAATCCTGCATGTTGGCAGGCTGTTAGACTAGATGATCCTTACCATCCCTTCTAACCCTGTGATTCTATGATTTACTTTCTGCTTGAAATAATTAAATATTTTAAGTAACCCATTCTTGCCCTGTTATCTTTCTACCACTTTGAACAGCATCACAGTAATAAAGTGAAGCACAGTAAAGTTTCCACTGCAGATTGCAAGTCACCACAAGATGTTGCTTCTCTTTGATTGTACCTGCATATTAAGAGCTTCTTCATTTCTGTAGCTGGATGCCTAGAGAACAGCTCTTCCCTTCAGCCAGGAGGAGCCTTCTGCCAACCTTCAAGAAGAGCTCTGTATGGCTTGAAAGCTTGTCTCTTTTACCAGTAGAAGTTGGTCCAATAAATATATTACTTCACCCACCTTCTCTCATAATATTCAAACTGTCCTTTGTCATGACTGGTACAACCTCACCCACACAATGGGGGTTCTGGTGCTTTAATTATACCCAGAGAGTCAAAATGGATAAGGACAGGTTTCAGAGTAACACCCGTGCTAGTCTGTATCCGCAAAAAGAAAAGGCTGCATCCGATGCAGTGAGCTGTAGCTCACGAAAGCTTGTGCTCAAATAAATTGGTTTGTCTCTAAGGTGCCACAAGTCCTCCTGTTCTTAAAATGGGTAAAGATTACTCTACCTGAACCCCTCTTTTAATATGCTCAAATAAATTGGTTGTCTCTAGCCACAAGTACTCCCCCGGCTGTTCCTCTGAAACCAAAGATTACTCTACCTGCCACCCCTCTGGCCCCGCCCACCAAGACCAGGCCCCGCCCCGACCCCACTGGCCCCGCCCACCAACCCCAAGCACCTCCTTTACCCCTTCGGCCCCACCCCCAAGCCCAGACCCCGCCCCGCCCCTCTGGCCCCTCCCCCCAGCCCAGGCCCCTCCCACAGCCCTCTGGTCCCTCGCCCCGCCCCCGGCCAGGCGCTGCGCGGGAGCCCTGCGACGGAGGCGGGGGGCGCGGCGCAGCAAGATGGCGGCGGCCCCGCCGCGGCAGTGGAGCGCCGAGGAGCTGCGCAGCGAGGCGCTGCCCAAGAAGGACCTGATCAAGTTCCTGCAGGAGCACGCGGCGCAGGCGGTACGGCCGGAGCGGGGGGAGGGGCCCGCGGCTCGCGCGCCCTCCTGAGGGCAGCTGCGCAAGGCGCGGCCGGACCCCGCGGCCATCCGGACCTGCCCCCCCCTCCCCGGCCGGACCCCCCGCCCCCGCTCGCCTCGTCCCCGGCCGGGCCCCCCTGCTGCCCCCGCCGCTCTCCCGGGCCGGACCCCCCGCCTCGTCCCAGCCGGGCCCCCCTGCTGCCCCCTACGCTCGCCCCGGCCGGACCCCCTTTCCTCCCTCACCTCGGCCTCGGCCTCCCGCTCCCCTCTCGCCTCGCCCTCCCTGCTCCCGCTCCTCCCTCACCTCGCCCCGGCCGGGCCCCCCGCCCCCCCCGCCGGCCCCCCCGCCTCGCCCCTGCCCGGCCTCCCTGCTCCCCCCTTCCCCCGCCCCTGCTCCCCCCTCGCCTCGCCCTCCCTGCTCCCGCTCCTCCCTCACCTCGCCCCGGCCGGGTCCCCCCGCCCCCCCTCGCCGGCCCCCCCGCCTCGCCCCTGCCCGGCCTCCCTCTCCCCCTTCCCCGCCCCTGCTCCCCCTCGCCTCCCCCCCTGCTCCCGCCCCTCCCTCACCTCCGCCCTCCGGCCCCCTGCCCCCCTCGCTCCCCCCCCCCCCCCCCCCCTCGGCGGCCCCCCCCCCCCTCGCCCCTGCCCGCCCCCCGCTCCCCCTCCCCCGCCCCTGCTCCCCCCTCGCCTCCCCTCCCTGCCCCGCTCCTCCCTCACCGCGCCCCGGCCCCCCCCGCCCCCCTCGCCGCCCCCCCGCCCCCCCGCTCCTCCCCCCGCTCCCCCTCGCCTTGCCCCCCCCGCCCCACCTGCTCCTGCCCCCGTTCCTCCCGCGCCCCGCCCTGGCCGGGCCCGCCGGCCCCCCCGCCCCGGCCCCCCCACTCCCCTCGCCCGCCCCCGTTCCTCTCGCGCCCTGTCCCGGCCGGGCCCCGTTCCTCCCGTGCCCGCGCCTCACCTTGGCCGGACCCCACGATCCTCCCCAGCCTGCCCCCCCCCCCCCCCACCTGGACCCCACGATCCTCTACAGCTTCACCCCTCTCCGCCACCCAACTCGTTGCAACCAGATCCTCCAGCTCATCCCCTGCAGGATCCCATGCCCACTCCTCTGGCCCAGTCCCCTGGTTCCACCCCAGCAGGAGAACATGACCACCTCCAACTTCACCCCCAGGCTGCCCCTGTCTCTCGACTCCATCCCAGCTAGTCCCCATGACACCCCCATCTCCGACTCCACTCTGGCCGGACACCACCACTCCACCCACCCAGGCACCCCCAAGGGAGTGACAGGTCCATCCTGTGAGAGCCCCCAACTCTCCGAGTGCAACCTGCCACCCCCAGCAGTGCTAGCACCCCAGGGTCCTTTCGCAGCAGACTGCGGGCACGGAAAGCCCTGGCAACTCAGCTAAGTTTCCCCTTCTTGTCTCTAGTTTCTTGCAGAACACAAGTTACTGGGGCAAATAAAAAATGTGGCCAAGACTGCGACCAAGGACCAGTTAGTTACGGCCTATAACCAGCTCTTTGAAACTCAGGTGAGTACCTGCCTCTCCTAGGCCTGTATGGGACAAAGAGCCCCTCGTTCTTATAGCACTTGCTTGTGACTGAGAACACAGATGGTTTTCGTTCTAGCCTCATTTCCACGTTCTCCAAACCGTTCGCCTGTTTGGCTGAATTGTTCTGCAGCTGAAGCATATTTTTGTTTTCGAACTTTGAGCAAAATTCTTGCTGCTTTTCATTTGAGTGCGTGAAAATAGTGTTCATCTATTTAAAGGGACATTGTCAACTTCACAATCACACTTGCATTGGAATAGCGAGTGCCTGCTGTGGCTCCTAAGGCAGTCATTTGTAACGGAAAGATGAGATTTTTCTCTGTGCTTTGCTTTATATGTTTGACAGCACTCTCTATAGTCAATTTCATCATTTGTTGATCCTTTGTTCTTGCTGTTTCCTGCACACTCTTGCTAATAACAGCAACAAAATTGGAACTGAAGAGACAGATAGTGTGTGCTCAGAGAGGAAGGGGCTAGAGGGGAAAGAGTCTGATACTGCTTTCAGATCTCAACAAGGGGCCTTCTGAACATCATTACGGGAACAGAAACACCCAGATATTTGATAAAAGTAACTTAAAAATTCTGTGCATGTTATTTATAGGGTGTGCTATCAGAAACACTACTTGTTCAAGTTAAACCAAGTTAATAGAACTTTTTAAAAGGGTATTACCACAATTCACAGACTAACACAAACATGGATGAAGTTTGATAGCTGACACTTGGTATATAAGTAGTTCTCAGTGAGTGATGGTTTTGCTGGGTTTTGAATTTTTCCTTTGACCCATCAAAATTCAGATCATTTGAATATATATTTTTTTAATCTAGAGGAACATGTTTTGATTATGCATGCCCTTCAAAGCAAATTAAGATAACCAGTCATGCAAATACATCCTGTGCATCTTCAGTTGTCAGAAAACATGTGACATTTTTTATCCTTTATAAATATCCTGCATCATTATACATATTTAAATAACTCGTATTTCAGTTTGCAGTGTTTTAGTCACCTTGATCCCAGGTTATTAGAGAGGTGAGGTAATATCTTCTATTGGACTAATGTCTGTTAGTGAAAGAGGCCAGGTTTGGGAAAGGTACTCGGAGCATAGCAACTAAGTACAATGTAGAACTGATTGTTTCACATCAGTAGTTACATATTCTAATCTAAGAGACCATTCAAGGTGAAGTGGCCCTCTAGTACCCCCCACAACACACCTCTCAGGATCCCTGGGTCCTACACATGCCTATCACAACAAGGTGGCGTACCTCATCCAGTACGCTAAATGCCCCAAAAACAGCTATATGGGTGAAACCAGACAGTCACTACTCTCTTGAATGAACTGTCACAGAAAAATATCACCTGTGGGCAAACACTTTTAATGAAATGATCACCCCATATCTGACCTAGGTCCATTGTAGAGCCTTAATACTGCTGACTATTGGAATCCATGGTTGTTTCTCCTCCAGAACTGGTCCTTAAGTATATAAAAGCTGTAAAGTAGATTTTGACAGCCTTTTGAAGGATTTTGTATCCTTTTATGTAGCAGGTAATGATAAATGCTTTCCTTACAGCGCTTTAAAGGCACAGAGAGTGCAGATAAAGTGACGGAACAGGTAAAGAAGGTCAAAATTGATGAAGACAAGGCAAAAGAAACTAAGCCTGAAGAGATTGTTGATGAGGTTTGTATAGAAAACTACTCTTTCTTAGATTAGGACTACTGCCTATGTAGTAGAATAAATGCTTTTGAAACCTTGAATTATAAAAGGTAGAGAATTTGAGTGGGCTGGGTTGAGGGGGATTGGTAATAAAGCATGCAGCCTGGAATGGATCCATAAATTGATTCTGAAATTGTTTAAGATGAACACAACAGTTCTTGGAAGTGAAGTGGTACGGCGGACAAACATTCACTAGTGGGATTTCTGGTTGGATGGCAGTATCCAAGCAGAAAGTGTTAATATGACTGCAAAATGTTTCTTTTATTGGTACAATGTATCCCCTCAGCATTTTCTCTCTTGTTGGAATACTCTCTAACTGGACAGGGGTACATTTGAGGGCCAAAGCCCCATGAAGACATTTTCAGTGATGTTAAGAGAGCTGAGCAGCGTACCATATACAAACTGGTAAAGAGAAATTGAGTGCTCTTGGTTTGCTTTCTCACCAGAAGTGACAGCTGTGAAGTGTTTATTTACAAGTTGTTGTTCTTCATAAGTCTGTATTTGTAGTTTTCTGGAAGACCCTCATCTGATTGAAAAATTGGACCTTAATTTAACTTCTCACTTACCCAGCATATTTTGAGCCAGTAGTCATTCTCATGCAGATTTCTCCCCAAAGTTTTAAATAACTTCGGCATCAGGACCAATCTTGGTTTTGCATAGACTACATTTATATAACCCTTTCCTTCCCAAAGGATGCTAAAGTACCGTACAGACTATATTAATTTAAAAGCATATATGGGTGCTGTTCACCTTAGTATCTGAATGTGGTTCGTTCAGTGGCTTAAACTCAATTAGCTTCAGTTAGTCCATCTTGTGCTTTGTTGATAACTTGGGACGAGTCATTAAGGTTGTGGTAATTCTCTATTTTCTATCTTAATTCAGGGTCCACCAAAATATACAAAATCAGTTCTGAAAAAGGGGGATAAAACTAACTTTCCCAAAAAAGGAGATGTCGTTCATTGCTGGTATACGGGAAAGTTACAGGATGGGACTGTCTTCGATACCAATATTCAAACAAGTAAGGTCACCTGGATAACAAGGTCTTGCAGGTTTAAAGAGTTCAGATAGTTTCCACAACATATGAGTGGAAGAAATTAGCTGGAACGCTAGTCACCAAGTTGTCTTTATGCTTCTTAAAGGCTTGAATAGCCTGGGTCCTAAGAAACTGCTTCTGCTCCGTGTCCTGTTGCTGTCAGTTATTGGGATGAATCTTTCCAAGAGAGAAAGCAGGGTATTCTTTCAGGACTCACTTTTTATAACATGATCCCTGCATCTTGCCATAGACTACATATGGTATTTCCAGGCCATGGATAATGTGAAACATACTGATTTAGTCAGTCCTGTGGTTTTGCAGAAGGGCAGAGATAAAGGCTTTTAATTCATAAAACTCTGTTTAGCTATAGAGCCTGAGTGGTGGTAGCTTATTTAGCTGCCCAAGCAGACAGCTTGTATAATTATCAGTTAAATGCAGAGATGCTTTGGGGATAAGTGTGTAAAATACATAGCTTATGGGGGAAACAAGTGCTAGAAACATAAATTTTGCAGCAGTTTTATAGCACTGTTAAAAGTAATAGGTTGTAATTGCAATACTATGCAAGATTCAGATCATTGTTTTACAGTCTGTTTTTCTGCTCCAGACATTGTACATAAAATTGGTTCCCTGCTGATTTTATTGAACATGTTGCTTGCCAAATACAGTACCTGCCTGCATTTCTAATACCATAAAAATAGATCTTCTCTGTTTGTTACTTCAGTATCAGCTCTGGTGTTAGTGCAACTTCACTGGTTTAAAGAAACTATGGGCACTTGCATCAAGAGTGAATTTGCCCCATTGTTTGCTATTTCGCTGCTATTTTGAATGATTAAATGATATGAAGCGGGGGGAAATTCATTTACAGCTCATCTATAATCTGTATCTCGGTGCAGTAGATATTTGTGGTGCATGACTGCAGTGGTAGTTCTAGTCAGAACTATTAGCGTGAGCTAGTTAGTGACTTGACTTTGGCTGAATAAATGTATCTACAAGTGTCTTTCAGGTTCAAAGAAGAAAAAAGGAGCCAAACCTTTAAGCTTCAAAGTTGGCGTAGGAAAAGTTATCAGAGGCGTAAGTAAACCACATAAAAATCTGTCTGTGTCAAAGTCTGATGAAGTCCTCGGTCTGTAGGTTTACCTGTTGGTGTGCATCTGTTGGGTGCTTCTCTGAATTACCTGGAGAAGAGAGTGAGTTTACAGCTCTTTTGCCAGGAATATGTTTTATTTCAGTTTTTATATAAATGCCCTCATCTAACTTCCCAGTGCTAGGCCCTCTCCATAACTAAACACGTGGACAGCAGTATTTGAGTGTGTGATCTTTGGGTCAGAGACAGTGTGTTAGATATTTGTACAGCACGTAGCACAGTGAACCTTGATTGGAGCCCCTGTGTGCGACAGGCTGAGTTCACAAAGGAGTCTAACTGCTAGGGGTCCTACATCTAGTAGAATTCACAGCCCTGAGTGAGGCGCCTAAGAAAGGGATTCTCAGAACTCAGCAAGCTGAGCCAGGAAACCTAAGCAGAAGTGTGAAATGCAGAAGAAAGGACTGGGGCTTAGGGCCCAGATCCACAGTGATATGCAGGTGCCTAATCCCCATTGGTCCAGACCTTAGGCACCTGACTGACAGAATGGAGAGAGGCACCTCTCTCTGCTTGGAATTCTCCACCGTGATACCTCTCCTGGAGTCAGGGCCTAAGCAAGATCAGCCCTTTCTTGTGATATGCCAGAGAGACAGGCCACCACCCCACTACAGCAAATAGCGCAGTGGTCAGGGCACTCACTTGGGATGCAAGGGTCCTGTTTTCAGATCCCTGCACTGTCTGATTTAGAGCAGGGACTTGAACCCAGGTCTCCCATGTTTCAGTTGAGTGCCCTATGGGGGAGAGGAGGGTTTCTCTGTATAATTAATATTCATTAGGGCAGAAAAAAAGAGAGTTAGCAAGTGTCTCAGAACCCAAATGGTTAGGAAGTCAAGTTCAAGGCCCTGCTCCAGTGTATAGTCAGGTTTTTTTAGATAGTGGACCAGCACCAACAAAAGCAATAGACCTGCCACAGAATAGTCAGGTACTTGGTGGTTAGGGCACTCTCCTGGCATGTGGGGGCCCTGGGGCCAAATCCCTGCTCCAAATCAGGCTGAGTGGCTGTCACGCAACCCAGGTCAGGGCCCTAACCACTGAGCTAATGGGTATTCTGGTACAGATAGCCCCCAGAATTCCTAACTTTGCCCTGGGCTGTCATATGCAAGTTAGGTCTTCTGAGAGCATATATACCAGACTGGCCCTGTAGGTGAGAGATGCGGAGGAATGCCTAGTTTGAGAAATCCGATAAGGCTTGCCTGAGCGAGGGCTCCGACAAGCTTGCCCACCCGTGGAAACCTATGCATGAAGTGGTGATTTAGGTGCCTAGAAGGTTTGGTGGCAGCTGAGTGGTGGTTTTGTGAATGTCAATTGTGCCTAAAGAGGCATCTAGGCACCCAAGTCCCTTTGTGCATCTAGCCCTACCACAATGCAAATTGACAGTATGTGCTGGTTCCAGTAACCTGACAGGTCAGTCAACATATCCTTATCTCCCGCCAGAGCCCCTCTTCTATCCACTCAGTCACCCCTCATGCCACAGCTGAACAGACGAGCTAAACAGTATCCTGAACTATTCCCAAGCTCTGATGCGTGTCATGGTGTCAGAAGAACAGCTGCGAGCCAGTATGGTGTGTCTGGATTTCACTTCAGAACTCTGAAGAGCTGATCACACTTCTTTGCACTTAAGCTTGATCCTTGCACAGGGCACAACATGGAGCTCCAGTCTGTCACTAGTGCAAGTGAAGGCTGCTTTTAAAAGGATGGGTAGCTAAGTAAAGTCCTAGGTATAGTCCTCTGGACAAAGCAGATGTGTCAAGCCCTTTACACAACTGCCTGCCTACTTACCTTGGAGAGCCTAGAGAATGGGGGCAGGTGTGGATGCTGCATGGGTATGTCTGAGGAGATGTGGGTGTATCATCTCATAATGAGGTGCTTAGCTACAGGCCCTGCTCGTTGCCTCCCTTCTATTACTGGACAGTAGTAACTTGGTGGCCGCCCTGCTGCATTTCTCAGTGCAGGATCAGGTTCCTCACCAGTGCCATGCACGACTGCTGTGGCTCGGCATGGATGTACTGTGACAGCTACTTATGGAGGGGGACACCCCCAAAATATCATTGGTCTTGTGCCACTTGCTTCAGTTTTTTGTGATAAGCTTTAGTCTCTTGCTATAACACTTCCATGCTTGGATTGTTGCCATACACCTCAAACAGCTGAGATCTGAATACCACCTGTTATCTGATAAGCTGATACCGTGCTAAACTCTGAACACTAGCTATGAGGTTTGGCATGGGGAGGGACAAGCACTGAGAGATAAAATTAGTTATCAAACTTCATAAACCCCAGCTGGATAACGGCTTATCTGTAAATTCCAAAATAAGTGGAATCTGTGAAAACACACACTGAGTTTCATATTCTTATTGAAATAAGAAAGATTTGGCCTACTAGTATCTTCACATCAGGGGATACTAAACTTCAGAGGCTAGTTTCCACTGTACTGTATGTGCCTGGGCTATAAATCCAAATCCGTGGCAGTAAATCCTAGAACAGCTCTTGAACAGGTGTTACTGTGGGAACATTTTCATTTTTTAAAAGGAAAAATCCAGTTGTCGAACACTACTGCTTGGAAGGCCATCTGCAGTTAGTTAAGCTGCAAGCTGGGAAGCATTTATTGGTGTGTGTGTTCTGGCTCAGAGCCCAAGTACTTAAAAGAATAGAGTTGGAAATTACATCTTTTTTTTTTGAACTTCATGTTACAACATACTTTCTTTTTTAGTGGGATGAAGCTCTGTTGACAATGACTAAAGGGGAGAAGGCTCATCTGGAAATTGAACCTGAATGGGCTTATGGGAAGAAAGGGCAGCCTGATGCCAAGTATCCTTTTACTTGAAAATATGAACAGGATTGAATGTACCTTTTGGGAACGTCCTTGTTATTCAAGTCTCTTTGCAGTAAGATTTTTCCTGCTGGAAACATATAACCAAGGCAAAGATGGATTTCTGGCGGGGTGTACGTTGGCAACATGGTGCTTGACTTACAGAATAGGACCATTTTGGAGTGTGCGCTCGCTCTTTCTCTGTCTCTCTCTCAGCAGCCCCTGCCATGCACACTTGTTTCAGTGATTGTTGCCTCTGCTTAGCAGTTAATACAGTGGGAAAAGAGCAGACTTGTACTACTGGCTGTCACAAACACGCACTTGGCAGGACAAAGGCCTTGCAGGCAGGGATCTGGCAATGGAATATACATTTGCAGTTACAGGTTGGCTTAGGGTGGAAGCCTAAGTGAATATGGGGGAATTAATGTATGTATGGATTTCAAAATGCTAATGACGGTTTATGCTTTAAAAATGTGTCCTAGCTGAACTAGGAGCAGGACATCCTAAATGAGGCATGACACTAGTTTGGGAACAGGGATGACTTGCCATTCTTCCATTCATAGCTTCATTGGCATAGTTCTTCCTCTCTCCTCTGTATGTAAGTATGCATTCTCCTAAACGTTTCCACCTCCAGCACTGAAACAAATTCAGTGATCTATCTGGGGACCATATAAGGGTAGTAAAGAGGTAACTTGCTGTGCTTTAAATGAAGGGGAATCCGATTCTATTAGAATTCTTTGAGGGGATGGACCAGGGGGATCCAGTGCATATAGTGTACTTGGACTTTCAAGAAGCCTTTGACAAGATTCCTCACGGGCTCTTAAGCAAAGTAAGCTGTCATGGGACAAGAGGGAAGGTTCTCTCATGGATCAGTAACTGGTTAAAAGTAGGGTGACCATATTTCCCTATGCTGAATACAGGGCACCTGTTAAAAAAACTCGTATGCAAGCGAGTTCAATGGCAATCAGTCAGAACTATGCAGTACAAACATTCAATTAACATCAAGTTGACTGAGCCCTTGTTAAAAAGAAATACTGTGTAGGATTCTTTTTATTTACCTTATCTTTAAAGCTTTAGGGTTCACATGTGGCAAGGTGACACACACACACACACACACACACTCCTGTACACCTCTCTCACATGGTGTGGGGGTGACCAATCGACCTGACCATCCCTGCCCAGCCCTCTCCACTGTCAATGCCTGGCTTGGCCCCTGGGACAGACCCGCCTCTCCTGGTACCTGGCACCATGTCTTCCCAAGGCAACACGGGCTGGGGAGAGGGAGGCACGTTTTTAAGAAGTCGGGACACCTGCAGGGGGGCTTAAATATGGGACTGTCCCTTTAAAAATGGGATACCTGGTCACACTAGTTAAAAAACACACACATACAGTCAACCTGTGGAACTCGTTGACAGGATGTTGTGAAGGTCAAAACTATAACTGGGTTAAAAAAAAATTAGATTAAGTTCATGGAGGATAGGTCCATCAATGGGTATTAGCCAAGCTGGTCAGGGATGCAATCCCATGCTCTGGGGTCCCTAAACCTCTGACTGCCAGAAATTGGGATTGGATGACTGAGGATGGATCACTTGATTGCCCTGTTCTGTTCATTCCCTCTGGCACTGACCACTGTCAGAAGACAGGATACTGGGCTACTTGGACCATTGGTCTGACCCAGTATGGTCATTCTTATGTTCTTAACAACCGGGGTGGGAGAAAGAGAGAAGTCTGTTGTCATTGCTTCAGCGGCAAAGAGAAGAGGAAGTAGTGAGATTCATCTGCGCTTATGTTCCACAATGCCTCTGGCCGGAGGACACAAGGAGAAAACAGGAGTGGGCTGACCTGCTGAACACTCCCTACATCCTACTTGTCTCTGTTCCTTGCTAGCTTTTTGTGCTGCTGGTAGGAGGGGGAGAAAGGGAAAATACCCCCTTTGTCTCCAGCATCTCAACTTGTGCCCCCTGGTGATTTGTCTGCCTGGTGTGAAGGTTGCGGATCTGAGTTATCTAGATAGACTTACGTGTAGCGCTGGGGAGGAGCTGGTGGTCGTGGTACATGTAGGTACCTATGATGTAGGGAAGGGTCAGAGAGATGTCCTGGAGGCCAAATTTAGGCTGCCAGGAAAGAGACTGAAATCCAGGACCTCTAGGGTGGCATTCTCAGAAATGCTACCAGTTCCATGTGCAGGGCCAGGTAGGCAGGCAGAGCTTCAGAGTCTCAATGCGTGCATGAGACAATGGTGTAGAGAGGAGGAGTTTAGATTTATTAGGAACTGGAGAAACTTCTGGGATAGGGGGAGCCTATACAGGAAGGATGGGCTCCACCTAAACCAGAGTGGATCCAGGCTGCTGACACTTAACATTAAAAAGTTTGCAGAGTAGTTTTTAAACTAAGAGATCGGGGGGGAGGAGCCGATGGCTGCAGAGGCACACCTGGGTCGGACAGAGACTTCTCTTAGAGGCAAGTCTATTGATAGACATTCTCTAGGGTTTAATCAGGAGGAGGGGATGGAAGAGGACAAAGTATGGGCCAGATCAGATGAGAAACATTCACAAAGAATCCGACACATCAGAAAAGGGCAGACAAATAAGCAGTGACAAGTTTTTAAAGTGCTTGTACACAAATGCTGGAAGTCTAAATAATACGATGGGTGAACTAGAGTGCCTCGTGTTAAAGGAGGATATTGATGTAATAGGCATCACAGAAACCGGGTGGAGTGAGGGCAATCAATGGGACACAATCATTCCGGGGTACAAAATATATCGGAAGGATAGAACAGGAGGTCATGCGGAGGGGCGGGGAGTGGCACCATATGGTAAAGAAAATGTAGAATCAAATGAAATAAAAATCTTAAATGAATCCACATGTTCCATAGAATCTCTGTGGATAGTAATTCCATGCTCTAATAAGAATATAACAGTAGTCATCTATTATCGACCACCTGACCAGGACAGTGATAGTGACGATGAAATGTGAAGGGAGATTAGAGAGGCTATCAAAATAAAAAAACTCAATAATAGTGGGGGATTTCAATTATCCCCATATTGACTGGGTACATATCACATCAGGACGAAATGCAGAGACAAAATTTCTCAATACTTTAAATGACTGCTCTTTGGAGCAGCTGGTGCAGGAACCCCCAAGGGGAGAGGCAACTCCTGATCTAGTCCTGAGTGGAGCGCAGGATCTGGTCCAAGAGGTAACTATAACAGGACTGCTTGGAAACAGTGACCACAGTATAACAACATTTAACATTCCTACGGTGGGAAGAACACCTCAAAAGTCCAACACTGTGGCATTTAATTTCAGAAAGGGGAACTATGCGAAAACGAGGAGGTTAGTTAAACAGAAATTAAAAGGTCCAGTGACTAGAGTGAAATCCCTGCAAGCTGCATGGACACTTTTCAAAGACACCATCATAGAGGCTCAACTTCAACGTATACCCCAAATTAAAAAACACAGTAAAAGAACTAAAAAAGAGCCACCGCGGCTTAACAACAAAGTGAAAGAAGTAGTGAGAGATAAAACGGCATCTTTTAAAAAGTGGAAGTCAAATCCTAGTGAGGTAAATAGAAAGGAGCATAAACACTGCCAAATTAAATGTCAAAATGTAATAAGAAAAGCCAGAAAGGAATTTGAAGACCAGGTAGCCAAAAACTCAAAAGATATTAACAAAATGTTTAAGTACTTCAGAAGCAGGAAGCCTGCTAAACAAGCAGTGGGGCCTCTGGACGATCGAGATACAAAAGGAGCACTTAAAGACGATAAAGTCATCGCGGAGAAACTAAATGAATTCTTTGCTTCAGACTTCACGGCTGAGGATGTGAGGGAAGATTCCCAAACCTGAGTGGTCTTTTGTAGGTGACAAATCTGAGGAATTGTCACAGATTGAAGTGACACTAGAGGAGGTTTTGGAATTAATTGAGAAACTTAACAGGAACAAGTCACCGGGACCAGATGGCATTCACCCAAGAGTTCTGAAAGAACTCAGATGTGAAACTGCGGAACTTTTAACTATGGTTAATAGTTCCGCAGTTTCACATCTGAGTTCTTTCAGAACTCTTGGGTTTCCACAGTATGCATCCGATGAAGTGAGCTGTAGCTCACGAAAGCTCATGCTCAAATAAATTGGTTAGTTTCTAAGGTGCCACAAGTCCTCCTTTTCTTTTAACTATGGTTTGTAACCTGTCCTTTAAACCAGCTACTGTACCCAATGACTGGAAGATAGCTAATGTAATGCCACTATTTAAGAAGGGCTCTAGAGGTGATCCTGGCAGTTACAGACCGGTAAGTCTAACGTCAGCATGGGGCAAATTAGTTGAAACAATCATAAAGAATAAAATGATCAGATACATAGAAGAACATACATTGTTGTTCAAAAGTCAACATGGTTTCTGTAAAGGGAGATCATGTCTTACTGATCTATTAGAATTCTTTGAGGGGGTCAACAAACATGTGGACAAGGGGGATCCAGTGGACATAGTGTACTTAGATTTCCAGAAAGTCTTTGACAAGGTCCCTCACCAAAGGTTCTTACGTAAATTAAATTGTCATGGGATAAGAGGGATGATCCTTTCATGGATTGAGAACTGGCTAAAAGACAGGGAACAAAGGGAGGAATAAATGGTAAATTTTCAGAAAGGAGAGGGGTAACTAGTGGTGTTCTCCAAGGGTCAGTCCTAGGACCAGTCCTATTCAACTTATTCATAAATGATCTGGAGAAAGGGGTAAATAGCGAGGTGGCAAAGTTTGCAGATGATACTAAACTGCTCAAGATAGTTAAGCCCAAAGCAGACTGTGAAGAACTTCAAAAAGATCTCACAAAACTAAGTGATTGGGCAACAGAAATTTAATTTAATTAATGTGGATAAATGTAATGCACAATGGAAAAAATAATCCCAACTATACATACAATATGATGGGGGCTAATTTAGCTACAACTAATCAGGAGAAAGATCTTGGAGTCATCGTGGATAGTTCTCTGAAGATGTCCACACAGTGTGCAGCAGCAGTCAAAAAAGCAAACAGGATGTTAGGAATCATTAAAAGAGGGACAGAGAATAAGACTGAGAATATCTTATTGCTCTTATATAAATCCATGGTACGCCCACATCTTGAATACTGTGTACAGATGTGGTCCCCTCATCTCAAAAGAGAGATACTGGCATTAGAAAATGTTCAGAAAAGGGCAACTAAAATGATTTGGGGTTTGGAACGGGTCCTATATGAGGAGAGGTTAAAGTGGCTAGGATTTTTCAGCTTGGAAAAGAGGCGGCTAAGGGGGGAGATAATAGAGGTCTATAAAATCATGAGTGGTGTGGAGAAAGTGAATAAGGAAAAGTTATTTACTTGTTCCCATAATATAAGAACTAGGGGCCACCCAATGAAATTAATGGGCAGCAGGTTTAAAACAAATAAAAGGAAGTTCTTCACACAGCGCACAGTCAACCTGTGGAACTCCTTGCCTGAGGAGGTTGTGAAGGCTAGGACTATAACAGAGTTTAAAAGAAAACTGGATAAATTCATGGAGGTTAAGTCCATTAATGGTTATTAGCCAGGATGGGTAAGCAATGGTGTCCCTAGCCACTGTTTGTCAGAGAGTGGAGATGGATGGCAGACGAGAGATCACTTGATCATTACCTGTTAGGTTCACTCCCTCTGGGGCACCTGGCATTGGCCCCTGTCGGTAGACAGGATACTGGGCTGGGTGGACCTTTGGTCTGACCCAGTATGGCCATTCTTATGTTCCCAGATCAGCAAACAGGGCTAATGGAAAGCAGACAGGGACACCCATTGCAAAACTGCTCAGCAGACTCCCAGCCATGCTCCCCCCTCTATAGCTGACGGATGGTTGGAGGCTACAGTTCTTCCCTTGCTCCTACTTTGTGGCTCTTTTTGGACCTGCAGCTCTGCCAATGAGACATGTTGATGCTCTGTCCGGAGTCTTGTGCTACTTTTGCCCCTCTTCCTGCTAGAAGTTGAATCAGCAACGTTAATAGTGCCCTAAAATGAGGAAGATTTATGGCTTTATGCTGCTCCTGACTTGCTTACATCACTACCCTAGCTGGGCTTTACGAAGGGGAAAGTCTCATGCCACAAGCATTTCATTAAGACCTTGTGAAATCTACCTGCTGAGCAGTTGGCACAGAGTGTTTCGTATGGTCACTGCCATGTTACAGATACAGTGAATGATTTAATAGCTTGCTTTTAGCATGTAAACTAGTGGAGGTGAAAACTTTTCTTGCTAGAGGTTACTGAAATGTCAAACTTTGAAGTGTCAGGTTGAACAACAGGTGGTAAGTCACAAGTTATATCTAGCCAGTTCATATATCCAGCTGGATTATGTTAAAATGTCTTTAACTCTTGTGCAAACAGGATTCCTCCAAATGCAAAGCTCTTTTTTGAAGTTGAATTGGTGGATATTGATTGATACGAAGAATTTGTTCCTTTAGTGCTGTGAATTCATCAATAAGTGAGAAGACATCTGCCAACTGCAATTCTGTTCTTACTGCTTCAGGAAATGTTACAACTATGGCCTTCTGTATTGAAAATCATTTTGGTTTTTTTCTCAATCGCTGTACAGTAAAACATCACTAAAGAAAACAGATTATAGATGCAGGTAGTTTGACTTCTTTTTTCCTTGTGCTTCCATACTTCAGTAAACTTATCTGGAAAATCTGTTCTTCTGCAGTGGAAGCAGATGCTGGGTTTATTTGTAAGTTGGCTTTGTAGAATCTGTTGCAATGAGGGGGAAGGGAAACCCACTTAAATTTTGTCAGCATTTTTCCCTCCATGTTGGCCTGGGTGCTAAGCCCTCCCTTCAGTGCTGTTGTACGTCTACCTCCTTTAAGCTCCTAGCAGTGCCTGGTTCAGATCCATGTAAGCGGTGTCTGTCTTTCCACTTTTGTAGTTTGGCTCATGGAAAACACCATAGGTTGAGCAAGGAATGTATTAGCCTCTTCAGCCTTACCAACCTCTTACTGCAGTTGGCTAAGTTGTCTTTAGTTTAGCTTTCTGATCACAGCAGTGACACAAGAGTGGATTTTTTTAGTGGTCAGCTAAACTGGACTCTATTTGGAAAGGGGGAGGGCAGAAAGAAACAGACAGCGCTAGGAAATAAATTAGTAAGAACCTCACAGTAACCTTCCAGGCATTGCTCAAGATTTAGCTGAACCCTCTGGAGGTCATAGCATCTAGTTCCTCTTGACCTTTTTCATTAACCATTGGAACAATTGACCATAGGTTGCTGTGGGTTCTCCATCTGACAATTTTAAAATCAAGAACAGATGTTTTGTGAGAGTTGTGGTAAGGTACTTAAATTTTCTGTGCAGTTTCCCCATTTATGAAATGCATTATGTGCTTACCTAGTCATTTTTAAGACTTTCAGATACCCAATCTAAGGTGGCATCTATGGTTGGTTTGCATTTGTTTTTTATACATAGGAAGTGTGGCATCCCAAGTGTTGGAGTAGTGAAGTAGCCATCCCAAGTGTTGGAGGAGGAAGAGGTCCAGGGGGTGGTATTACACATACTCAGATTTTACAGCTGAGTGAAGTCAGTGTTTGCATCAGGCCTGGTCAGGCAAGCGCCACAGTCCCATCTTATTGCTTGGGTTGTTGCAGGCTGAGCACTGCAGAACACCAACTCTGTTTTGTAGCCTTGACTTCCATTGTAGGACTCTAGTATCTCTGCTTCAGAATTTAGGACTAGGTCTTCTCAATTAACTGAGGGGTCTGGCACTTGGGGATGTGAGGCAGATCCAGCAGTGGAAAATTACATTTAAGTTTCACATGCTCAATACTGCCATACTAGTCTCTCATGGAGGTTTAATATAAGGTGTCTGGGTGAGGAGGGGCAAGTTCCTTGAGATTCTCCCCCCTCAGGTTCCAGGACTGTTAACTGTGTGTGTCACTCTGAACCTTATATCTGCAGAAAGGCATGGGGGTGAGCTAATATGTTACTGGAGCAATGTCTGTTGGTGAAAGTCGGGCTTTTGAGCTTATACAGACTCTGCTTAAGATCTAGGAAAGGTACATAGCCCTGGTCTACAAATACCAATCTGTCAGGCTAACAGGCTTTGTCTCCACTAGCACTTTCCTTGTTAAAGCTTTTGTCATTCAGGGGTGTGAAAACACCCCCCCACACACACAACAAAAGTTTTAACGCTAGAAAGCACTGGTGCGGACAGGGCTTCATCAGCAGGAGCCGCTCTCCTGAGAGCAAAGCTACCGCCCCTTGTCGGGGGTGGTTTTATTTTGTCGTCAGGGACAAAGAGCAGCTACACTGCCTGTTTTAAGGTGTGCAGTATAGATGTAGCCTAAGTTGCTCAGAAATCCACACCCTTGAGCAACAGTTATACCATCATAAGCCCCAGTGTAGACAGCGCAGTGTTGCTAGGAGGGCTTCTCTCATCAGCATAGCTACTGCCTCTCCATGAGGTGGAGTACCGACACTAGAGATGCTCTCCTGTCAGCATAGGGAGCACCTTCACTACGTGGTACAGGGGCACAAGTGCAGCCCTGTAAGCGTAGACAAGCACTTAGTGTCACAGCTAAATACAAGGTAAAGCAAAGTGTTAAGCACAGGAATTAACACATTACAAGAAACCATTCAAGGTGAAGTGGGCAGTTAACAGCTCCCCATCAGAGGACAAAAGAAATTAGTGGGTACAGATGGTTCTAGTACAGGGGTTCTCAAACTGGGAGTTGGGACCCCTCAGGGGGTCTCGAGGATATTACATAGGGGGTTGTGAGCTGTCAACCTCCACTCCAAATCCGGCTTTGCCTCCAGCATTTATAATGGAGTTAAATATATAAAAGTGTTTTTAATTTATAAAGGGGGGTGGCATTCAGAGGCTTGCTATGCAAAAGGGGGCACCAGTACAAAAGTTTGAGAACCACTGTTCTAGTAAGCCTTAAATCCAGTGTCTTTATGGGAGTCCATGATAGCTATAGATGTCAGCATGAAGTGATGGAAACAGCTACAACTGTAGTTGAGGGCTCTCGTTCGGAACATCACTTGGGCTTACAGTGCATTATCATCCAACTTAAGTTCTCAGCCAGTTTTGGCTTTAATTTATATATTATATATAAAAACCACACACACACGAGCTGTGTGACAGCACCAGCTTCCAGCCACTGGCGAACATTTAAAAGGAACTGTTAGATACACTAGAAAAGGATTTGACCCACAAGCTAATTAATAATTTATGATTTGATACCTAGCTGCAGGGGCTATAAACAATTTTCCAACAGTAGTAAACAGACCAGAATAAAAGACTCTTAGGAGCCATTAGTAATTAATGGTACATAATTGAAAACATGCTTAAGCGCATAAGTCCCTTCCAGTTCAGTCAAGAAAAGCTTTTTCTATTTTTAAGGTTTAGGTGCTGTTTGTGGACAGAGGTAAATAGTTTCCTGAATGCAGTTCAGGCCCACATGGCAAATCATAAATCTAAAACTAGATGAGCCCAAAGCACTCTTCTCCCATACTTCCTCCCCCCTAAACTAGATGAAATTTAAAAGGTACATTTGCACCTCCACTGCATTGGGGTTTAGTTCAAACATCTTCACCTATCCCCCACCACTTTTAATGCAGCACAATATGTGCTGGAAGAATGATATTCAAAAGTGTGCTCTACAAAGCTTAAGGCTGGAGGTGGCCTCTCTAGAAAAGAGCAAATGGAGAACCGCTGTGCTGCAGAAGTTCAGTGTGCACTTCAATTTCAAAATACCAGTGGCTTGCTAGCTTAATTTTGGTGTTCAAACCCATCTGCATTATAGGAGAGCAAAGGTCAACACAGAACCTCAGTTCACAGTACTTCCATGTTTTAAAGGATGTTTTAGCCCAGAGTTAGTTACGCTAGTAGTCGTAGTTGCATTGTTAAGGACATAGGTACATCTACACTGCAATTAAACACCCATGGCTGTTGGGTCAGCTGACTTGGGCCTGGGCTCAACTGTCAACAGTGCAATTTGATAGCCCCATGAGTCTGAGGCAGCTGACACAGGCCAGCTGTGGGTGTTTAATTGCAGTGTAGACATACAAGTTTTTCAACGGCATAACAATGAGTTTTTACATTCACAATGTTTTAATGGGATAGCAAAGAGAAAATCCAACAAAGCTCAAAGAATTACTGAATAATTCCTTGGTTTTATTACAAAAGAGAATGATCACTTTGATCAAAATGAAAAAGTTTACTCACAACTTGTACATGAGAATTCTAAATTACAAACATCCACCCCAAACACCATCGTTTCAGTGCCTTTTTAAAAAAGGGATGCAACCATTTTGCACTGCATTTAATTTGTGACTATGTAAAATATAAAATACACATTATAACTTTCAAATGTTGACATTACTGTATGCATTATGATCATGGCAATAGACTCATTAGGGCACTGCTCACTTGGACCATGAAAAATTTCACTGGAGGAGCTGGGTAGGAAATGAGGTTTTTGGATAGTGAAGAGGAGAGCAGGTAAAGATGAAAAAAATTAAAGGGGGCTGCTCATGTTCATAGACCTTTCCACACTGTTCACCTCTTGTATTGGCTACTGTGATGAACACTGGACATCAGAATTTCCTCATTGCTTAAAAGAAGATTGTAGCTTGAAGGATTTAAAAATCCTTACTGAAACAATGCTAACTCAAAACAGAACGCAACAAAAAAAAAGCCTCCAGATAATTTTTCCTTAAGTTAGTGTGGGAAATAAAGTTGCATTTATGGTAACTAGCAGCGTATAGAGATCAATGCATCATTTACCAACACACAAATCTTGCTTCACGTATCCTGTGAACATGGGCTTGTTTCACATGCAAAAAGACAAAACTGCAGGTATTACAATAGTTCATTTGTTCACATCCCTAATTTAAAAAAATATATTTTCATACTCCCATCTTTGCTGAACCACCACAATGAACTCCAGTCTCTCTTCTGATCAGGTTGGAGGGGGAGCATAATACTGTCCATAATTCCAGGCATTCTGGTAGTTGTACTGGAAAAGAGACATCATGGGGAAAATGAGCAGAAATCATTTTTCAAATATATTTGATACGTTGCAGTTTCAGACTACCTCCACACATCATGCCAGAAAAGAATACTTACCCTGCACTGACTGGGATGATTTAGTTGGGGTTGGTCTAGATGACCTCCTGAGGTCCCTTCCAACCCTAATCTTCTCTGGTTCTATGACTGGTTCTTCAAGGTGGTATAGTCAGTGTGCATCTCCCTGTGGGAGCACACGCGCCACAAGACTGGAATCTTTTGAACTGCTGTGGCCATCAGAGCTGCATGTGCACCCTGTGCCCTCAAGCGAGAGCATTAAGGGCAGGGAGGCCACAACCCTGCAGCAGTTCCCTCACAAATCAAAGCCTGCGGTTGGTACAGACTCTGGAAAGTGGGGTTTGAGGGCAGATCATGGGATCTGTGAAGACTGCAATATCTCACAGACCCCCAGTTACTGTACAGTACATACCATTCTCTCAGAGTACATGTCAGTGTGGATCCCAACATACGTGACTGGCAAGAAGTCCCCTCACTGGATAATGGGAATGAGAAATTTTAAACTACTTTAGTCAAAAATTGAAGCATCATTCCATCACTGGCATAAT